CGGCTGCCGGAGGCTGCGAGAGCAGCTGCGTGTCCGCAGTGCCCGGGGAAGCGCGGTGTGGACTGACTTCCCCAGTGAACCCACAGGAGCGGTCAAGTGGAGATAAGTGGGCCGGGCACGCCTTGGACATTCTGTCTTCACGTTCGAAGACTGTAGGAGGGCGGTCGGTGGTCACGTGACTGTGATCCTTAACATGTTTTTTTTCTGAGTCACCGCTGAGGCCTGGACTGGCGGCCGGGCTGGTGTGGGGCAAAGCCACCCTCCCGAGGGCTGCCTCCCTGAGGACCCTCCCTCCTGTGCGGCCCCCCTGCACCACGTCTTCCGTTCCCCGGGGCTTACACCCTCCTTTTGCGGCACTGTTCTGACCCGGACTCGGTGGGAACTATCAGAGTGGACGGTCTCGGAAAACTCGGAGGGCCGAGGACTGAGCCTGGAAGAACCCAGCTCTGCCCCGACAGGCCCTCGGAAAGCCATCAGAAGACGCAAGCGGAAAACCCCGAGGCCTGGGCGTGGGCACAGACAAGGGGGTGTTCGGTGTCCAGGGCCACCAGGTTGCCAAGCCCTGGAGCCCGGACACTGGACTTCAGGCCTGGGCACGGAGCCGCCCGCGAGAGCAGCGGGTTAGTCTCGCAGGGCGGTGCCGGCTGCTTTCTGGGTGCCGAGCAGGCTGGGGGGCCCCGGAGGCAGCTGGTCCTCCTGTCCGCCCCTCCCCCTGGCAGGCCTCTCCCCCTCCAGGGGCTCACCACACATGCCTGTTTTCCCAGCTCCCAAGTGCACTGCCCGGCTGCTGTGTAGAGGGTTCTGATACCAGTCGGTGGAGATCAGAGGAAAGAAATGCCACACACTGCTTCCCAAAGCTTACGATTATAGGTCGTACCAGTCAGTGAAGGCAGGACATTTAGCAGTTCCCCAGGACACGTGACACAGAAGTCTGGTTCCTGCCAAGGAAGCTGTAGGATATGAAGGAATGACAAGGGCTTTACGGTTGACCGTCTTGAGTTTGGATTCCCAGATGCCACTTAGCTGTGTGACTGAGGACAAGCTGCTTAACCTCTCTGAGCCTCCGTTTTCTCAAATACAAACCGAAGAGCCCAGTTTTGATGTCCTGGTGAATCATGTTTGTAAGTCCTCCTTCCTCTCCTTCCCCGCCCCAGGCCGCCAGGCCAGGACGACAGGGCCTGACACTTCATGGAAGCAGCGATGCCCCAAACCTGGGCCACCTGGGCAAGGTGTAAAGTGAAAGCGGGTGCAAGTACGTTCCCTTGGAATCAATGAATCTCAGCAGGACTACAAACCGAGTTGGGCAGGAAAGGATCAGAGACACTGAACGTTAGTTCCACATCCGAGTTCCTGGAGAGCTGAGGAGGATACAAAAGACAGCAGGAAAAAAGCCCACGTGAAGTGGGTGCCCGAGAGTGTTGGCGGAATCAGTCAGTTTCGGACGCCCTTTTCAGGCGGGGCTGTCTCATACACGAAGCAGATTTCCTTACAGGCCGCAAAGCAGCGTTTCTGCAGCTCCCAGAACTACGTCTCCACTTCTGAGGTTCTCAGTTATTGTGAAACGCATGTCTTTCCGCAATATTAATTTGAAGAAAGTTCACGGGATGGAAGTTCCTGGAGTGTGAAGAGAAGAACCCTTTGTCCACTTACCAGCCACACTCCTGGTCGGACGGAGTGGGAGGGCAGGTTTTCCTACCTGCAAAAGAAGAAGGCAATTAGACTTCAGTTGTAATAAATACATATAATCTCCTCTTGAAAGCTGTTGTTCTAGAGAACCCACAGGTAGACCAGGCTCTTAGAAACAGTTTCCTCTGAGCAAACACAGGGGTTCCTCGGCTGGGGGAAAAGTATTGCTGCAAAAGGGCTCTGGGGGCGGGGTAACCAGATACCTCCCCAGCTTTGCTGGTTTCTCTGCAGGGAGCCTCGAAGTCCCAGGCTGGTAGGTGCCTGGGGTGGAAACGGCAGAAAACCTGCAACAAAGCTCCCCAGTGCTCCGTCCCCAAGGGGCACTGTGCCAGCCTCAGGGTCCTTGAACAGTTTAACCCAAAAGATGGATATTAGGCCAAACCATAGAATTTATACCAACGATATGAATGACAAAATTTTTTTAAAAAACCGAAGAGATCCCTAGATGGCCCGCTTCCTCAGTCTGGGCATGAGGTCGCTACTGCGGCTTTAAAGAGGACGAAGGTGAGGGGCCAGACTTCGAGATGCCCGAAGCACCGCGCTCGCCCTCGGGTGACCTGAGATGCTGCCTCTGCTGACCGGGAAGCACAGAAGCCAGACCTGTGGGGCCGGCAGCAAGGACCACTAATGCACAGGCTGCCCGGGGAGCGCCCACGTCAGCCGGCACCCAAGGATTTATTTCCACGCCCGCAGGTCCCTCGCTCCCCTCCGAACTGTATTTATTTCAGTCCTTAGTAATTTACCACGAGAGACGAGTGAGAGGTCGTCATCCACGCCGTTTAATCAGCTCCCTGGTCTCGAGGACGAAGATCGGTGGGTGGGGGCCGCGACGCTGTGTTTGTGGAGTGTGGACACGGCGGGCCGTTGGAGCTGCTGGGGGTGCTCCACGAGGACTGAAGGTCCCACCGTCCCCTGCCACGATCCCCTACGCCAGGACAGACCATTTGGAAGAGTTGTCCAGAAGGACTCGGTGTTAGTTGTAGTGTTGGTTTCCACGACATTTGCTCAGGCCATTTTAATAGTTGGGGGTGGAGTGTCACAGGTTCGATTCCCAGTCAGGGTACGTTCCTGGGTTGCAGGCCATGACCCCCAGCAACCGCACATTGATGTTTCTCTCTCTCTCTCTCTCTATCTCCCTCCCTTCCCTCTCTAAAAATAAATAAAATCTTTAAAAAAAAAGTTGGGGGTGGGAGGAAGTGCAAGTGGAATTCTTAGTGTAGGTTTTAAAAAGTGACCTCGTTTTTCTCTAGCCTTATTAAGTGAACTATGAAACGTGAAGGCCTTGATTCTGTACACTTCCATTACAAAAAGAATTCTCCCTCGACAGTAAACGTGCTTTGTGCCACTGGAGGGCTCGGCTGTGCAATGATGGAGTTATCTCGTTCTCGCGTGTCAAGTGCCACAGATGTCAGCATGCGCAGGCGGGGGGCTCCGTCACGGAGAACCCCAACCTGGCACGTAAACACAGCTGATCTGACAGATGCGCCGCCGCCCATGTCAGCGCATGCGCAGAGGGAGGGGCTGGGCGCAGCCTCTCAGAAAGCGCTACTTCAAGCCCGGGAGCCCTCAAGTGTTTGGTTTGTAGGGAGGAGGCGTTCCAGGGAGCGGGGGCCTCGTGAGCAAAGGCTAGAAGACCTTGAGGCTTCATGGGAATGGCGATAAACCCAGTCAGGGTGGGTGGGGCAGGGGCAGGTGCCAAAGGTGGGTTGACGTCAGGCCGCCAAAGTCCGCGTGTAATTAGTCTAATTAGAGTTTTGTCTATTGAAGAAGGATGCTGAGCCTGGTAGTTTGCAAAGGCAGCCCCGCTTTCAGTGCGTGTGAGGTTGGAACAGCAGGCGACCTGGGAGGGCCAGCCCGCCTTAGGAAAGGTGATGAGGGCCCGAACTAGGTCAGTGTCTGCTGGGGCAAGGGAAGGGACAGAGGTCAGGGCCATTTCTAAGGGACGATGACTGACCACCAGCAGAACTGACGACGACTTCGGGTTCCAGTCTGGGCAGTGATCTCTGGGAGGAAGGCAGGCAGGTGAGGACAGAAAGGGGATGGAAGCTGAGGGACTGGAGTTTCTCCGTCCCGAGACTGACTGCAGTACAGCGTGGACTTTCCACCTGCACACCTAACGAAGAGCTCTTGGGAACACGCTTTGCGGCCCCCTCCTCCCCCCGCAGGGACAAAGGGTTGCCCGCCAGCCAGCGCAAGCAGGCGGCCCCGTGTGCACGTGCTGTCTAGGGACACGGGCCAGGAGGGTGTTTTCACTTCCCTCCATCCGTAATCACCCATCTCTGGTGCGCGATCCAGGTGTGCTGCCTCTGCAGTCCTAGGCACCCTTCTGTTCCCGCCCCTTCCCTGGGCCGTGTCACACTCCGTTTAGATGTCCGTATCCTTCCGTGACCGCCTTGGGGAAAAAGGACTGTTTTATCGGATTTGTTTTTGTGTATTTGTCCTTTCTGCATTTCATCCATTACATTCTTCAAAGTAGCACAACCACTCATGTAGAGTGAGGTGGAGTAGGAGCCTTGGAAGGAAAAACCTAGGTGACCGAACGCACCTACCCAGCCGCAGAAGACGCCATGAGCAGCACCGTGAGCGAGGAACGAGATGAGACGCAGACCCTTCAGGAGGCGTCAGCTGGGGGCTCATCAAAGGTACCCAGAGGCCAGCATGGAAAGTGCTCCAAAAGCGACCAACTCTGGGGCAATTTGCACATCACGTGACAACAGCGGTGGGTCACACATTACACAGTACCACCTGAGCTGGATGAGGAGTAGACTGTTTAGGTCCCAGCACTGCCCTATGGGAGAAAGTAACCCCACACAGTGTAAGCAGCTTTGGCAGAACCACCTGCACCAGGTGACCAGACACACAGAGGACACGGCATCTCCTCGTGATGCTCCTCCTGAGACGCAGAGCTTGAGTCCATCGAGAGGAAACAGCAGACGAATCCACACTGCGGGATGCATTCTACCAAGCAGCGGGCCTGGAGCCTTCGGAAGGGTCCAAGGCAAGACAGGAGCTGCTCCAGACCGGAAGGAACTCATGAGAAGCGGCATCCAACAGCAGAGGGAGATCTGGCCTGGACCCCTCCATTGTGAAGGGCCTCACGGGGATGGCCGGAGGAATGGAACGGGGCCTGAGGGGGAGAGGGTGGCAGGGCCGCCGCCCCCTTCCTGACCATGGGGGTGGGGGGCTGTGCAGGGACACACACAGGAAAGTGTTTGGGGTGGCGGGCCATCAGGCTGCCAACTTCCTTCACAGGGTTCAGGGGACGAACGTGCTTTTACTGTAACCGCAACTTTTCCATAGTACGGCTGAGACTGTTTCAAAATAAAAATTTTATTTATAAAAGGTATCGGCTACTTTATTTTGGCAGTTCAGATTTTTTTCTTAAAGAGGTAGGCTGTTCCCACACAAGGCGGACCGGATGGGAAGAGATCTTCAGCTCCGACTCGGCCTCCTTAGTCTGAGAGCAGGTTGCAGGGGCCACGTCTGTCGAGCGGAAAGCGGCAGCTCAGAGCCTGTGGGGTCTCGCTCCCCGCCCCAGGCCGGCTGCAGGAGAAGTCACTGGCTCAAGGACTGCCTCAGAGCTGCGTACATCACCTGATCCTGAGAAGGGGGAGGAGACAGAGCAGAGAGCTGATCACTGTGGAGGGTTGGACTGTGTCCCCCCTGGGTTCGTATGCTGAGGTGCCAGTACCTCAGAGGGACTACACCTGCAGACAGGGTCTTAACGAGGCGAGCAAGTGAAAACAGAGTCGTCAGGGCGGGCTCTCATCCGACGGGGCCGGCAGCTTTGTGAGAGGAGATTAAGACACCCACGCGCGCACACACAGAAAGAAGACAGTCGTGCGCAAGGAGAGAGGCCCCGGAGGACACCAACCCTGCCGACACCGTGGCCTGGATTTCTGATCTCCAGCACTGTGAGAAATTACTTGTTTAGGCCAGCCAGGCTGTGGCGCTTTGTCACGGCATGCAATTCCACTCACGCTCCTTCCTCCAGGGAATGCCATGACTCATGACTGCTGACACACAACGTTTGCCCCCAAATCAGGTTAAAAGGTTCTTATGCCTGCATCTAACTAGCAAAGGAAGCAAACTCTGAACCAAACGGAGCCCAGCCTGGAACGAGGGGCAACAGCAGAGGCGTCGGACGCAGCGTTAACACCTGCCGGAAGGGGTCCGTTACTGCCAGCGGGGCCGCGTCCCTGCGTTTCAGCAACCGCGCACGGGAGCGAGTTCCGGTGCTTCGTCCTGGCTCCCCTCGGTGGTGCCGGCCCTTCACGTTTCAGTCAGTCCACTCCTACGCGTGTATCCCAAAACCCACAGCACGTTTTCATCTTTAAAATCCGATTTTGGTAAACTTTTTTGGATAGGTAAAATGTTCACAAGGCTGGGAAGTACATGTAAACAGCTGTAAAATGGGAAAAGGCCCTCTCCTACACTGCCCCCTTCGATGCACCCCTCTAGATTTTCCGCTGCACATACGTGCAAGCACTAGTAATATCTTTTCCTCTTCTTAATAAATATAAATGGTGGCGTGTCACACATGATCCCAGCTTTAAAAAAAATACATGAGATATTCCTCAGCCTTTTTAGAGTAGTTACAACAGAATTCATCACACGATCCTTCAGAGCTTCAATCCTTAACTGTCGTGCACAATGCTACACACGATGAACAATTTTACGCCGATGTGCGTCCCTGAGGGTAAAGTCAGCGAAGGAGTTTCTGGGCCAACACCTGCAGTGATTATAATCTGACCCGTCACAAGGGCTGTGTGGACGGACTCCCCACCAGCTGCACATGAAAGCAACTGTGTCCTCATTTCCTGGCCAAAAGGGCATGATCAAGTTTTGAGATTTCTGCCAAAAAATAGGTTAAGTTACATCTTTTATTATCAGTAAGAGTTGCTGTGGCTGAGTAAGTAACTCATGGGCCTAAAAGCTACCGCCACCGCCCAAGCCCCTTCTGGTCACGCTGGGGAGGAGGTGGCCGCGGAGCCGACTCAGGGTGCGAGGCCGAGGCCGGAGGTGCTGGAGCCCAGACAGCGGTGCCTCCGGACCAGTGTCTGGACTTTGACTCCAGTTCTCAGCCAGTCACCGCGCTGGGAACTGCTGATGAAGGGCTGACGATGTAAAGGAAATGGCCGTGGCCATTTGATGACGTAAAGGAAACGGGACCAGGTCCTCACGGCTCAGACGGACGACAGCTCCGAGCGCCTGGAGACGCAGGACGTGCGGGCGCTGCCTGACTTCCCTGAGCAGTGACCGAGTTAACTCATCACAGGCACCGCAGGAACAACGTCAGAAACAACAAGTAAAATCTGGCACTTCACATAAGAGAAAGTCCGAGTGACTTTTTCACCTTTTTCTCACTGTACGGTGAAGACACTTTGCTTTCCTGAGACGTCAGGGTGAGTCCCTAGTGCTTAGTTTGGGCGGCCCAGCTCCAGGCAGACAAGAAGCTGCTCATTAAAGAGGGTGTGGCAGGTCAGACGCCGCGTGGACGAGGCCAATCGACAGCCCCAAGGCTGCAGGAGCAAACACACGGCGTCACTGGCCGAGCTCCGGTCTCCAAGACAGACGCAGACCACGTCTCAAGAGCACTCCCACAGAGGCACTCCCTCTGCTCGTCCTCACGAATTCCCGTCAGCCGGCCTAAACTCTAGTCTCTGTTCTCTCTACCTTTAGGAGCACTTCTTACCTTTTTTGATATAGATGATTTTACTTTCTTGAAAGCTTCTTCGAAATGCTTCTGACTAATCTTGAGGTCACCTGTGGAGCAAATGCACAAAGATACACATCTGGGTATAACATGGTGGTTGTGACTCTAACTCACTTTATTTCAAGAGGCTTCCGAGAATTCGAGAACACTGAGGTCCTCACTGGTGAGGCTCAGTGGGCTGGGCCTCCTCCCGCAAACCGAAGGATCGACACTTCAACTCTCCGTCAGGGCACGTGCCTGGGCTGAGGGCCAGGTCCCCAGCTGGGGGCGTGTCAGAGGCAACCAATCAACAATCAATATTTCTCTCGCACGTTGGTGCATCCCTCTCTTTTTCTCTCCCTTCTTCTCTAAAAATAAATAGAATCTTAAAGATATGTGTATGAAATAAAAAGAACAATGAGGAAATGAGTGATGACATTGGTTCTAGTCTTTTTCAGAACAATGAATATTGTTCTGAACCAAATATAGTCTGCTCATCAATTTTTTAGATCCTTTTTCCTTTTAATTTAAATTACTCTTTATGAGCATATTTAATTTTACAGAAATGCTTAAGTTTTATGTCATACATTTTAGTGCTATCCTCACCCACCAGTAATCAAAACAGTCTATTTTGGAACAAATTATATAAAAAAGTACTCTGGCCCTGGCTGGTGTAGCTCAGTGGAGTGAGCGCAGGCCTGTGAACCAGAGGGTCACCGGCCTGATTCCCAGTCAGGGCACGTGCCTGGGTTGCGGGACAGGTCCCGGTGGGGACATGACAGAGACACCGCACACTGATGTCTCTCTCCCTCTGTCTTGCCCTTCCCCTCTCTCTAAAAATAAATAAAATCGTAAAAGAAAAATAAAAAGGTACTTTGTCTTTAATTAGAGATTCTTATCCCTTTAAAAAAACAGTCCATGTGTTCTACTTGTGTGTTAGCTCCCAGCTTTACTGAGACACTGTGGACACAGGAAAGTGTAAGGCAGGCAGCGTGACCATATGGTACATGCATGTGCTGTGGAATGATGAACATAGTAAGGTCCCCACTCATGATTATCTTTGTTTCCAAGTGGTGATAACTTAAGATCTTTCTTAACAACTTTCCAGTACATAACACAGTACTGCTAACTGCATCCCTTGTGTAATATGTTAAACCCTGTAACCAACCCATTCATCTCACTGCAAGGGCGTCTGTGCCTTCTGACCGGCACCCCCAGTGTCCCCCACCCCCGCTTACCGGAGTTCAACGCGGCACCACCCAGAGAGACCCACCACTCGCACACAGATAACCCCTTGCAGGCCCTGCGCCGTGTTTTTCAGACTGTAAGATACCCCCCTACCCCACCATTTGGGAGGAATAATGGTTGTTAATGCTGCTGTTGAGTTCTGTTTACATTTGCATTGGTGAAATATTATGTTATTTATGTTATTAAATATTTTACCACATTTTTTTACTTCCAATTTTTTTCCTGTCTTCTTCCTCTAAAACAGAAGGTGCATCTTATGGTCCGAAAAATAGGGTGCCCTAAATACGGTGTTTATGAAGAACCAGAACTGTTCTCTTTTAAGATAACGCAAGTACGTTGAACTGGGAATGGAGAGCAGGCTCCACAGCTGTCAGTGAGAGTGCGGACACGCAGTCAGCGCGAGTGCGGACACGCAAGTCAGATGTCGCGGAGTCACAGCACCACGATACATGATACATGATACATGGCGTGGGCAGAAGTGGTTGCCGTTGTGAGTATGGGGACCGGAGTTTGCTCCTTGTGCCACTTTTAACTACTGTGTTACTTCCCCACACAAACAACTGTAAACCTACTTCTGCCTCACCCCGGACAATATGCAGTACATAATGTCACAACATTGAATTAGAGGGGGTTCTAATTCTTTGTAAGGTTATGCCATTACCTAAGTCTGAGAGGTCAAATGACAATGTAAATCAGGCTTGGTTTAGAATATTAACATAACAACTTACATGATGAAAATTTATACTTAAAATGGTAAACTTTCTACACAGATACTGGGATAGAGTATTTACCTAAAAGTAAAATAAAATCTGTAGCTGAACATGTCTAATGGAAGTGAATGGTATCTAAGTCTCAGTAAGATGCTAATGCAGTGATTTTCAACCTCTTTTATCTCATGGCACACACAAACTAATTACTAAAATTCTGTGGCACACCAAAAAAAATGTATTACTTTTTTTTTTTTACTAATCCGAGAAAAAAGGTATAATTTTGATTGCTTCACCCAAAAAAAAAGAAAAAAAGAAAAAAAATTACCCACCCGTCTTGCTCCAAAGTGACTTAAAAAAAATCAGTGCCTGTATTTGTATAGAGAGATTTCTTGTACCAAGAATTAACCAATCAGATGCGAGCTTATGCCATGTGACCAATAAGATGCAACTCATATTTATAGTGCAAGACAGGGCACTCACACTGGATGGCTATTGTTGGGCTGGCTGCTGTCATTGTTTTATCTGACAATCTAAGAGAAAAGAGGTCAGTGCCACTGACTAAATAATCAAGTATTGCATGTTTTAAAAATACTCACAGTACACCGGTTGGTTGGAAATTACTGTACTAATTATATCCCACTTACTTCCAAAAGGAATTTACAGTACATTACAGTAAGAGAAGTGCAGATAACTGACTCGCAGTCTAAGCAGGGCACACGTGAAGTCCCACAGGATAGACGCCGGGAACGCCCACTGCAGCACGGCAGCGACGTCCGGGTCCGGACTCGTTCTGTGTGTTCACAGACAACGTCCGAACGGGCTCACCGGGAGCAGCCAACACGCGTGCGGACACAGAGGCCTGTCAATTTCTGGTTACAGAACAAACCCCCAGGCAGCCGTCAGATCCAGCGCTCGGGCAGCGTACTACCAGGTAAGATGCTTTTTACAAGATATTCTAGTTTTGTTCATTGTATCCCACCTACTTCCAAAAGGAATTTACAATAAGTTATAATAAAAGAAGTTCAGATAACTGAATCTTAAAACAACAAAAAAACCTCGGCGCCGTCATGATTAAGATGCGGGTGCTGGCAAGTCTGAGTTACCGCGCACGCACGCACGGCTGTGCTGTAAACAAAACGCACCTCTAAGATTCCTGGAGGACAATGACAGAAGGGAAAAGAAAAAAATTAGCACCAATAAAAAAGGTATCTTTTGAAAATGTACTGAACCAAAGGAGCTCAATACAGACTTGAAGCTTCAATGAAAGTACAGATTTAGAGGAAAAGGCAGGTCTTTTGAAGAAAGAATTCTACGATTATTGTAAAGAACAGCTGCAACCTGCAACTGATTAAATGATTCATTGTCACAGGCACCAAGCAGAGGCCATCTCTGTAGAAGACCTGGTTGGAATCCTTTTTGGCTACATGCAAACGAATCATATGAAGACATGGTCAAATGTGAAGAATGTTGCAAAGCTGCTGAGATGGCCCCAAAGAGTCACATAATAGCATACATCGACTTTGTATTGAGAAGCGAGAGTCTATACATACGGTAGGTTATTTCCATGTGCATTTCTCCCTGTGTGTGTGTTTTCTAAGCAGCCAGTTTAGGCTGTGAAAGCAGATACTACTTTAGCAAAAGAATGAGAAGCTTTCCCAAGACTGATAACAGACCAAACCCATGATGAAGTCGGTGAGTGGACCCACCTGCCTAAGCCCAAGCATTTGTGTATGATAAGGAAAGATCGAATACTTTGTTAGAAAGGCACCAAATAACTTTGCTATCATTATAATTGTCAGCCATAGAGGCACACTGTATTCTGAAAGGTTTCTGAAGATCTCATCAGAAAGTATCTGCTTTAATATCATAAAGAACAAATGCTAGAAAATGGTCATATTCTAGGTCAAAAGTGGTTTTAGATATCCAGCATAATAACTGGTTAGGACTGAGAGATTCCAGAGACAATCGTACCTCTTTCGCTTCCGCTTTTCTGCCTTGCCATTTCCTGCCTCAGGGCGCAGAGAGAAGCTTCCCGCACCAACGCAGACAGATCCGCGCCCCTGCAACGAAAGACGTGTTCGTATTTACTTAGACGCTACTCAGACCGGAAAGAAGTCTGAGAGCACTTTTCCTTCACGTCACATGTCGGGCAATCAGAAAAGAAACTGACAGTGAAAGTGGGAGAAACCGATTTGCGCCAGCAGGAAGGAGCTCAGCTTTCGTTGAGACGGTTTCTGCCTTTCCGGAGAAAGGAAACCGTGGAGGAAGCGATGCAGTGAACCATGCACAGTGCCACGGAAACACGGGTAGAGACCCACACTCAGACAGGAAGTCAGGGGCACCCTCAGTAGAGACTGACGCGCTCTTCACTGTGAACTTGCGTCCAGGCGGCCTGTGCTCAAGGGCCGACGGCCCATTCCTATGTCACCTGAGGCCTGAACAAAGCTTCTATGAGAGTCATTTATGGAACCGTGTTCAAAGGGGGAAACACAAAGGCTGGCAAGTCTTTGATGCACTCGATTCAAGCTCAAGCAAGGGGACTCATCCTAACTACTTGAAACAGGACAGGAACTAACAAGCCTCCGTTTAACGATCCTGTGTAATAGCAACGCGCTGAGCCCACGCGACTCAAGTTCAACGAATCGGTGAACGACACTGCTGCTGACTGGCGTTTCATCACCACACACCTTCAAGTTCTCGGAGATTCTTTGAGAGGAGTTTGAATTTGGGACAAAAACCTTATTTCCAGATATTGATCCAATTTATACACAATGGTGATGATCCACACAACACATAAAATTAAAGACGCACAGAGTGTAAATTATTAACTGAATCCAGTGTTCCTGTTGTAACGCACAGGGTTACAGCGTTATTTAATAATTTCCTACGTGCTGGGCTGTCACTCCCTTCTGTGACGTCAACTCTAACGCTGGTGTGGGGACGCCACGGACAGGCAGTGTTACAGCGTCTCTCAAACTGTGAGGACAGTGACATTAAAGCCCAAAATTTACGCCCCTCAACTTCAACTCTGACCCTTTCGACACTAACACCTACATGATGTAATCCAAAAGACGGAGCTCAGGGTACGTTCAGCAATGAGAACGTACATCCAAAGACCACATCCATCTGCGTGTACATTTACATCGTACATGTAACAGAAAATCTTACAGAAAACCTTTTCAGGTTTTAGCGCTGAAAGGTGTAAACTACCCACTGAAGGCTCTTGTTTTTCCTTGGTACTAAGTTCATTTAATGACAGACTGGTATGGATTCAATTCCCGACCAGGGGAGAAATACATCCTCCTTAAAGGGAAGGAGGGGCTTTTACGCCTGCCCTTCTCTCTCCCTCTCTCCCTCTCTCCCTCCCTCCCTCTCTCCCTCTCCCTCTCTCTCTCCCTCTCTCTCTCCCCCTCTCTCTCTCTCCCTCTCTCTCTCTCCCTCTCTCCCTCCCTCCCTCTCTCCCTCCCTCCCTCTCTCCCTCCCTCTCTCCCTCCCTCTCTCTCTCCCTCCCTCTCTCTCCCTCCCTCTCTCTCTCTCTCTCTCTCTCTCACCCCGACCACTTCCCCTCCACTGCTCCTTCAATGAACCGGCTGAGCCGGCTTCCAGACCGGAGCGCAGCATCTCTCTCAGGTGTGCTGGCGCGGCAGCTCGAAGGCCGGGACTCAGGGCCCCAGGTGTCCGTACACGAGAAAACTGGAGACAACCGCACTCCCCAGAAACGATCGGCGTGGCTTCCAGGGAAACCGCATCGTCAAGAGATGGTTACGCGCAAGTCCTCAATGGGGACCAGAGATGACTGGGTGCCCGTGGTACGGCGGGGGACGGGCTCTCTGACGTGCATTTACTCCGCTCAGTAACGGACTCCTGACAGCCTCGCTCCCCTCGGCCCGGGGAAGCCCTTTGCCCTGCAGGAACATCAGGAACCTCAAGCATGTTGTGGACAATCAACAGAGCTTTTCAAACAAGCCAGAGGAGATGTCTCCCTCTGCTGAACCTGGGTTTCTTTTTTCTCTGTATACGGAAACGGAAAGTTAACCCATTTCACTGAAAACATATGAGGAAAACAACAAAAACTACAACCACCACAAAAATGCGAGTGCTGAAGGCAGAAGTGTTTTCGCCCCGAGTTTACTTCAGGCTGTGCTGCGTGGATGGTCGCGGGCAGGTGTGCTGTGGAAAGAAATCCTGAGCCTTGGACAACGAGACACCTGTGGGTTATTCTCCTGTAAGTGCCGCCGCACCTGGGTAACTGGGTGGCCAGTCACGAATACGCTGGAAGGACGGACGGACGGTTTGCGAAGGATGGCAGAGGAGGTCAGGGCAGCCGAGGGACAAGGGTCACCGTGAGAGGCTCCCCCCCGCGTCCCCGGAGCCACAATGTGCGCAGCTGCTTCCCTGAGAAAGGGCGGAGCCCGCCGCGCCAGGCACTCCACGGGACACCCAGGAGCTCCAAAGGACACCCGACTCAACCCTCTCGACCCCGCCCCCCTCCCTCGCGTGACACCCGCGGAAACCGAGCCTCAGAGGACCAGCGAGCTGGGGGCGGAGATCCTTACGAGTAGCCTTCGCAGCGCCGGTCCTCCGCAACCGCTTCCAGGCGCACGTCTGCGTCCAGCGGGGGTTTGGTGCCGTTCTGCACGAGAGAGAAAAACCAACCGTTTCCCACTGAGGCTCTCCTCAAACACCCATTCTCTCCCGCCTAACGGGGTCTTAATAAGCACTGCCGCCTACTTGACTAGGTGAACTTAACTGGCTCCCAGAGCAGCGTTGTAAGAACTTTGCAAATTTCGATTTTGAGAAATGAGGTTTGGACGCAGGCTCCAGACCTGGGCAAACTGAAGGCAGTTTATGCTCATGAAGTCTGAAGACTCTGTCTGCAGGGCAGCAAAACCAAAACACCACCAAGGGGAAAATCGCCGCCTCAATCTTCCCAAAGGTGAAGAAACACACTTCCTTTGCTGATTACATGTGGCAAAGACTCAAGCAGTACTTGGTTCGGATGTGCGTGTTGCTAAGTTTTTGGTTGGCTAGGGAGGGAGAAATAATACTGAAACTGGCCAGCAGGGAATGAGCAGGAACTTGCTCTACAATAAAAGCCAAAAGCCCTCTGGTCAAGGCGTCCATTCCTAACCCTTCACCTAAATGCCATCCTGACTTTGGTGCCAGCTCCCCTTTAGCTAATACCGAGAGATGCCGGAAAGGACAAGACCAGAACAGTCTGAGAATTCCAACACCACCTAACAGAGTACCGTGCGTACACATGGTATGTGTCCAATACCATTTTCAGTATTCAGCTTCTCGGAGGCAAATACAAGTCTTTAGTAATTTAAAATGAAAATGCACGACATAGTTAGACGACAGGTTCGTATTTGCTTTACTATTCCGATTCATAACCGACATACGGTTTTTGTGGCAACGAAAGACGATAGAAAACATTAGAAAAGAGTTTAAGACGACAGGCGGAAGGAAGTGAGGAAGCGCGCGCCCGGGGGCCCCGAGGTGCGTGTGGACACCAGCACGGCGGCGCTCCCAGCGGGGCGCGGTCTGGGGCCGGCACCGTGTGTGCTCAGTCGCCTGCCAGTCGCCACGCTCGGCCGGCGCCCTCTCCCTTCCTGCCAGCTGGGCACATGGAAGCATTTCGTAAGCTGCGCCTCTGCCGCCTGCTATTATTTGATAAGGGCAAATGTTCATCTAACACACATTCAAGAAACAGTTGTGTTTCTCACTCTGTCCACTTTGACCTGGGAAACAGTCACAGGAAAAACACCCCGAGTGACCTCAGGCACAAAGTCTTCTGGCTTTTCCTTTCTCCCTTCCTGTGGTGGGTAAGGCTGCACGGCCAGACTGCACGATCCCTGAGGTTCCTTCAATGTGAATGTTTCCAGTTTACTCAGTCAGCCTGGGTGGGGTGGGGTGTGGCAGGGTGGGTAGTGGCTGGAAGGAGGCAGGAGGGGCAGTATCTGTGCCTCTGGCATTGTTCTCTCTTCTACTGTGGGATTGTCTGCTTCACAAAGTCTATCATTTTAAGCACTTTTAGGTTTATAACTGAGTGGCATTCAGTATAGTCACACTATGTGCAACCATCCGCCTCTAGAACTTTTCTCGTCTCCCCAAAACGAGGCCGTGTGTGTGTGTGCACCACGGACCATCCGCGCCCTCCGGCCCGGCCCGGGCAGCCACCGTTCCCCTTCCGGTCGCTGTGAATGCAGCTGGTGAGGCTCTCTTTCTCCATCCGAAGGCTGAACATGGACTTGGACATTTAATGACATGCCCACTTTTTCTGGTACGTGTACTACACTTCAACAAAAAGGTCTAAATAGTGCAAGTAACGTTGGGCGGGGAATCAGAAAACCTGAGTTCTACAGTTCAAGCCTGCGGATCTTTCGGGAAGCTTCTAAATCTTTAGTGTTTATCCTGGCAATAAAAAACCCCAGTGCCTTATCTCTAGGGGAGGAGATATAACCTTGTGCTGTATTTGGGAAGAAAGGGGGAGGGGAAGTCTTGTTTAAACATGAGGTGGACGGCCCTGGCTGGTGGGGATCCGTGGACTGACTGAGTGCTGGCCTGTGAACCAGAGGGTCGCCGGTTGCAGGCCGACTGGTGTATCTCTCACGTCAATGTTTCTCTCTCTCCCCCTCCTTCCCCCGCTCTCTACACGTAAAGAAATAAAATCTTTTGAAAAATAAAATAAAGTGATGGTAAACTAGTAACAGGGACTCATTATGATGCAGAATGGAAATGTCTGGACTTTCCCAGCTGCAGTCTCTCAGGCCGGCCAGGGCGGGAGGTGGGGATGGGGGAGGGGTGGTTAGGGAGCGGGGCTGCCTCCTCAGGCCAGAGCCCTCACCAGACTCTGTAACGTTCCCCAGAAACTGCCCGCCGAACCCTGACCGGCGCACTGCACACGGCTGTCCCCTCGCTCCAGCTCACACGCTGCTGCCCAGCTTCACCTCAGGCTCTCAGCTGCCCTGTTTCAACCAAAACCTCGACCACGAGAAACCAGCCCACGGAGGCCGGCCTACAGATAATCCTCCCGCACTTCTCAACATCCAAATTCACTCACTGGTTGCCTCTCCTGTGAGCCCGGACCAGGGACTGAACCTGCAGCCCAGGCGTGTGCCTGAATGGGCATCGAACTGGTGACCTTTCACTTTGTAGGATGACACCCAACCAACTGAACCACACTGGTCAGGGCCAATGGGGCTGATCTCCAGGTTACAAAATGAAAAGAATTCTGGGGATAAACAGCAGTGATGGCTGCACAACAGTGTAAATATACTAACGCCAAGGAACTATACACTTAAGAATGGTTAAAATGGTAAGTTTAAGTTAATTTCAGTGGGATTTTTATCCCTATTTTAAACACTAATATTATCTCAAAGCATTTGCAGACATCAAATAACCTCTCCAGCTTTCTGAGGTAAGGGTGAGTTTGAATGACATTTACAGGGAAGAAATGAAAATTAAAAAGAAGTTCAACTTGCCCCAGGGGGGTTTTAATGGCAAGCCTCCTGCCACCGCACCGCTACCAGAAACACCGAACGGAAGGTGTAAGAAACTTCCGAGCCCGAAAGACGCAGCAAAGCTGCTCTGACTCACAAGGAGTTTCAGACTTTTGAGAACAAGACCAAAGAAATTCGATCCCACTTTCCTCATAGTACCTTAGGTATCCACCGGAAAAACAGAAAACTACAAAAAACGATCCGGGTGATTAAAGTAAAAAGGCAGCAAGCTTTGCAACAAAAAGGTTAAACATTAGAAACGCCATTTTTCTAATCGCTTTTGGTCAGCTTCCAAAAATATACGTAAATGGAAAATCTAACTTGAGAACTGTAACATCTTTAGTTTTTAACAATATTTTAGAAAATGTGACACTTTAGAAAATAGTTACCTTTTTTGGAAAAGAAACACTAACTAACTAACTAACTTTAATAATTCCCTTACCTTTTTTTTTTTAAGTTTCCAACTTTAATAATGTGTTGGCTTTCTTCCCCCTCCTTCCCGCTCACTCCACCACCAGCTGCCCCCTGACCAGGCTGCACGAAGACGCTGGAGCGGCGTCTGCACTAAGTGTTAATGCGTGTTATTTTACAGCAGCAGACGCTGGGGTGACTTCCTGCCTTCTTTGTATGCACTGCTTCTTACTTTGACAAAAACGGTGAGGTCGGTTCTGCACAGCCACCTTACAAGTCGGCACATGAGCAACATGGGGGGCCGAAGTCAACAGTGCCGTCTCTAAACTGCTTTGCCCTGGGTCCACCACTAAATGTTTCCATTCTGTTTCAAACACGCTCCAAAGGGGACAATTCCTCTAAAGGGACCAAGATCTACAAGAACAGAAACTGTGACCAGGGTGATAGCTCAAAAGTATCAGGTGAGCATTTAACTCTAAGTGTCTCTTTCATGTTAAGCAAACAAAAAAAGAATGAAAAGCCTCTTCAGTTATCAAAAACAGTTCATCTCCTCCTTTGGGAGACAGAGGCAAATATTTAACATAATCACAGAAGAGAAGGTGATTAGGCACCCTAAACCGCTACTTGTCTGCACTGAAAACACGAGAAACTGACGCGCACACACACCAACCACCTCCTTCACTCACTCTCGTGATCGTTTTCAAGATGGCCAGGCGGTCGGCTGGGGGCGGCAGGCCCACGAAGAGGGTTTTATCCAGGCGGCCGGGGCGCAAGATCGCAGGGTCAATGATGTCTGGAGAAGAAAGAAGGGAGGAAAGAGTCTAAAATAAACTCTAAAAACCTTAAAAAATATATAATTAACATGAGAGATGGGAAGAGTATATTGTTTAAAAGAAAAAAACTGATCAGATTTTATTAAAATGAAAAGCTTCTCAATAAAACCAGTTCCTAAGAGGAGAAAAGCCCGCCCCCACCTCCCTGCCCCAAACCTGCTCTCCTCCAGGGCTCCCCATCTCACACAATGACCCCTGCCCGCCCCCCAAACACCAGGCAGGTCTCCCCAGTTTCTCTGGCCCGGAACACGTCCTCTCAAGTCTGCCTCCCATTACCTCACGCTTCGGTCAAGGCCAAATGTAAGGTCCGCCTCCCCAGCCTAAACTTCCCCTTAAAATGCTGCCACGGCTACTTCCTAAAACACATCCAGTTCCCTCGGCCCCCGCTCCTGCCGCAGAACCACGCCTAACGTGGTCCGACCAGCCTGCCCAAGGGTCGTCTGACTCTCCAGGGCAGGGAGTCTCCGGCATGCTGGTCTCAGGAAGTCTTGGCACTTAAATACTACTGAGGATGCCCTTGTAACCTTCACCTGGCCCTTCCCTGACCCTCTTTATCCCTAGGTGGCCACCAATCTGTCCTGTCACTACAGACGGGTTTGCATTTTCTGGAATTTTGTGCAGGTGGTATCATACAGTATGTTCTCTGTCTACTTTCTTTTCCTCAGCATAATTATTTTGAGATTTGCCTAAGTTGTTATGTGTATTCGTGCCTAATTCTTTTATTGCTGCGTAGTATTCCACTGTATGGATATGCCCCAATTTGTTTTCCAACTCGTCTGTTTAAAAAATATATTTATTTATTTATTTACTTATTTATTTATAGACAGAGGGGAATGGAGGGAGAAAGAACAGGAGAGAAACATCGATAGGTTTCCTCTCACATCCTTCCACTGGGGACCTGGCCTGGAACCCAGGCATGTGCCCTGACTGGGAATTGAACCGACGACCCTTCAGTTTACAAGACACCACACCAGTCAGGGCTCCACTCTTCTGTGGATAAACATTTGGCTCGTGTCCACTTTTGGACTAAGACAAATAAAGCTGCTGTGAATAACCGTGAGCTAGTCTTTGTACAGGCATCCACTTCTCCTCGGTACACGGTGGAGTGCAGAGCGCACAGTGGTATGGCTGTATCAATCACACTGCAGGCGTGTGCTTTACCTGTAACACTGGCAAACTATTTTCGAAACTAGTCGTGCTATTCTACTTTCTCATTAACAGTGCATGAGAGTTCAAGTTCTTCCACAATCTTAGTAATACTTGGAATGGCTAGTCTTTTCAATTTTAGTCAGTCATTCTCAGGTTTGTAGTAATCTCTCTCTGTGGCTTTATTTTTTATTTTTCAATTACAGTTGACATTCAATTTTATTTTCTACCAGTTTCAGGTGTGCAGCATAGTGGTTAGACAATCACACACTTTACAAAGTGTTTCCCCCAACGTTTCCAGTACCCAGCTGGCACCATGCAAAGTTGTTACAATATTATTGACTATACTTCCTATGCTGTACTCGACATCCCTGTGACTATTCTCCAACTGCCAATTTGTACCTCTTAATCCCTTCACCTTCTTCATCCCAAAACCCCCTGCCCCCAACCCCTGGCAACCATCAGCCAGGACTGCGTATCTGATCCTGTGATCCCGGTGGGGGGGAGGCCTTCTGATGGCTACGCTCCGAGTTCCATGACCTCGGTTTGAGAAGCCGAGGTCTTTCACTAGTGTCCCGAAACTAGCTGTAATTAACACAGAACCTCACGTGCTGCCTGTCCAGAACTCATCTGCTTTCTGCCCTTTAGAAGATCGTCCACACGGAAGGGAAGTGTGCGAGGGATGGATGGCGAGAGAGGCTGGCTCGTACCCAACACAGCCACGGACTCATCGGCACCTCCAAGGTGACACACGCAGGGCTGAGAGCCGATCTCCCCACCTCCTCCCCAAACAGGGCCCTGCCACTGCCTTTCCCATCCTGGTCGATGCCAACTCTTTCTTCCAGTTTTTCAGGCCTAACACCTGGAGTCAAGCTTGATTCCAGCCTCCCACATCCATGTCCAACCCATCAGCAAATCCCGTCAACTCGATGACACGTAGTCCAGACTCTTTCTACATCCCCAGGCATCATCGCCTGGTACAACCAACCTGGTCCCCTGCCCAACAGTGTCAGTGACAGAATCTCAGGTCAGAGCCCTGGCTGGTGTGGCTCAATGCACTGAGCACCGGCCTGCAAACCAAAGGGTCACCGGTTCGATTCCCAGTCAGGGCACATGCCTGGGTTGCGGGTCAGGTCCCCAGATGGGGGTGTGCAAAAGGCAACTGATTGATGTACTTCTGGCACATCGATGTTTTTCACCCTCTCTCCCTCCCTTCCTCTATGAATAATTTAAAAAAAGATTTTCAGGTCAGAGTCAAGATATCAGTTCTTATAGGTACAATTTAAGTCACCAACAATCCCAGAGTTTTCAAGGCAAAATGCGCTCACTCACAAATGAGATGGAGAGAAACACCCTGTCATTTCTGCTGACCCAGAAACAGTGTAGGTGCCCCTGAACCGGTGAATAAATGACACGTGGTGCACCCACAGTGTGAAACCTTTTTCAGCAATAAAAGGAATGCAGCAGCGATACATTCTACAACATGGGTGAACCGTGAAGACATGACTCAGTGGAAGAATCCAGACACCACAGCCCACACGCTGTGTGATCCCATTTACAGAAAATGCCAGAAGAGGGAAACTGCAGCGAGAGAGGGCAGACCGGTGGTCGCCGGGGCGGGGCGGGAAGGCCGGAGAGTGGCTGCCAGCAGACACGGAGCTCCATTTAGGGTGACGCACATGCTCTAAGATTAGACCGTTGGGACAGCTGCACGACTCTAACAACATACTCAAAACTGCCGAATCGTACACTAGAAAAGGGTAAAATTTATGGTACATTGCTTGTCACCAAAACTGTTGTCTTAAAAAGCTGGCTCTTCAGACTAACCAAACTCTCAGCGCGTCCAGTGAAAAGTATTACAGTGCCAGATGGCCTTCGTGAAACAGCAGCAGGCCTCTCCCGTGACTCACTGAGCAAAGAGTTACTGAGTTCCATTCCGTACCAGGGCACCTACAGAGCAGCAGAGCTGATGCCGGGAAAGGCAGTGTTTTGAAGGAGAGAACTTACGTAGAACTTCGTGACACTGAAGGACCTACTATTTTCTAATCTACAGAGATCAAACCAGAAGAGTTCTTACACTGAACAAACACGACCCGTGAGGAGTGCCGGCAAGGTCATTCCAGAGAGCAGGCCAAAGGCCGTCTTCTCGAAACCTGTTAGAAAAGCTGTGTTACCTACTTCGGAAAGGCAGGAGGGGATTCTGTCCAAGTCCTAGAGACTTCAAGGTTTCTTCCAGGGAGATGGTGATTTTTATGAGCTGACGACTGCTCCTAGTGCTACTGCTGCAACCGCGTGTGACAGTGGTAATTACTGCAACGCCGCTTGCCACACACTGTGGCAGGCTGCCCACACCACTGAGCCTTTGTGACAGTCCTGCCAGTTAGGTGTTATTATCTCCACTTTACAGATGAAGAAACGATGGTTAGCAAGATGAAGTAATACATGCACAAACCCATGTGGCGTAATAAAGAACACATTTGTCTCTGGGTCCCTGGTTCCTGGCTTCAAACATCCCCGGAATTTCCTGAGCGCTAGGTGTCCTTGTTATGTTAATGAGATGACAGGGCCGGGCCCCAAGGTAACCTCAGCAGGGAAAGGTTCCCAGAAAGACCAATCACGGGACTAGAGGACTGGCACTCGGACCCAGAGGACCCAGACCTCGGGGAGGAGAGGGAAGCTGAAGATTTGAGTTCAGTCACAGGGACAATGATCTGACCCATCACGGCTGCATAATAAAACCCCTATGAAGCCATCAGACGTCCTGGTTAGAGCACACAGCGACGTGCGGGGAGGGTGCGTGCGTGTGCTGTGCCCTGACTGTGCCAAGAGAGGCCACAGAAACTCCGCACTCCCTGGAAGATCCACCTCTATGAGTGTCCCTTACAAACCGTGACTGTGAACACAGTGCTTTCCTGACTTCCAGCAGTTGTTCTAGAGAATCACCGGACTTCCCATGAGCGGGGGTCACGGGGGTCACGGGAATCCCCGGATTGCAGCAGGCTGGGGGAGGTGAGAGTGCCGGAGATACTGCTGTGGCTGGCGCCAGAGGTGGGGCGGTCTGGGAGGGGCTGACTCCCCGACTTACAGGAGCGGACACTGACCCCAGGTGCTTGGAGTCAGAGCTGAACCAGAATCTCTCAGCTGGCGTCAGACCAGTCACTAAGGCATGAGCTGCTGGAGCCCGGACTCAAAACTTGTTCTGTCTGATTCCAAGGAGAGCATTTCTTTATTACCAAAGTACAAACAACCACAACTTACCATTTTCTACTTTACAATAAAATGGCATGTAACTCACGAAGGTTTCCATAGTAACTTATAAAGAATGAACAACTGTATCAGCTTGACAAATGAGAAGCCCACGTAAGGAGCTAAATCACTGAATCACCGCGGTCAGACAGTTAGCACAAGCATCAGTGTAGGAGCAGACAGTGTAGGAGCAGACACAGCGCAGAGGCTCATGCAAGTGGCAAGGTGCTGAGCAATACAGAGAGAATTCGGGACCTGGAGTAAAAGCCACCTGCAGCACTTTGGAAGCTTGGAGCGTTTTTCTAAAACCTTCTCTGAGTGCTTGTAAACTATTTTAAATAGTAGTTGAACCCAAGTCTAGGGACAGGGTTCCAGTACCAAACCTTAAAAACCTATCTCCAGGCCCTGGCTGGTGTGGCTCAGTGGATTGAGCACTGGCCTGTGAACCAAAGGGTTACTGGTTCGAATCCCAGTCAGGGCACACGCCTGGGTTGCACGCTGGGTCCTTAGTGTGGTGTATGCAGAGGCAACCACACATTGATGTTTCTCTCCCTCTTTCTCCTTCTCTTCCCCTCTCTTTAAAAATAAATAAAATATATAAGAAAAAACCCAACCACTTATCTCCAACCTTCAGGTACAATGAAGGGTCCCACTGTTGTTTCCTACAAGCTTGAGAAACCATGGGGCAGAAATTCTGATCAGCACGTTTGTGGTCTACCGTGAATGGTATGCATACTCTCTGCCAACTAGACAACTGTCTGCGCAGAAAAACTAGTAACTCGTGGAACCCAGGCAGTAACACCATGCTTTCCACTACAGCTTACACCAAAGCTTTCTAAGGCTGTGCTTCAACACAGGAACCCGAAGGGGATCCCCAGCTCGCTCCTCCTTTACCAGGACGGTGCAAGTGCCACGGTGTTCGGACGCCGAAGGCTTTAGACACATCTGTCCCCTGCTCTTCCGACCCACCTGGCCTGTTCGTGGCGGCCAGGATGAAGACCTGCCGCCGTGTTTCCAGACCATCCATCTCTGTGAGCAGCTGGTTCACCACCCGGACACTCGCCCCCGCCTGAAAAGAAATTAAACATAGCGCCATCAGCCCCCAATGAAAGAAACATATGTCACCTTTTTTTTTTGTCCATACAAAATAATGCACCTGCTAACTTGAGTGAAAGCTTTTGCCCAAAGAGAGAACAGTGACCATTTACTGACGAGTCATCACCGAACAGCCAAGTGCAGCACGAACACGTTCCCGTCCCTGTGTTTCTCAGCAGCCCCATCATCGTAGCCACAGTTCCGACGGCAAACCACGGCTGAGAGAGGCTGCAGAGTTGCTGGTCTGCGGTTTCACGGCTGGACGAGAGTGGAGGTGAAATGCAAACTCAGATCTACCTGGTCCCCAAGCCTGAAAGTGTAACAGCCACAAGGAATTTTCCTTTGGGCAAATCTAGACTCAACTTCTGGACATCAGACCGGACTTCCCAGCAGAGCAGACCTTTCATCTGGTTCACTGAGTCTTTTTCTCTTTTCCTGGGAGCACACAGTAAAGTACAGCCACCTCAGGGCAACATCTGAGAGAAAGATTCAGGGGGTTGGTAAATGGAGGGACCCATCACTTAGCGATGGAAGTTTTTAAAATGCGCAGTGGAGAAAATAAGAAAAGTGGTGCTGTGCTTCTTTTTGCCATTAATTGCCTTTCTTTAACATAAACTTTATATACAGAGGTGGTAATGAGTTTAACCCACTGATTTCTCAAAAAAAAAAAAAAGCAGCTTATTATCACTGCTTGGAGAGACAACACCAATAGTTAGGAGATTAATGGAATTATTATCTGGACACAAAAAATTATGGAATTATTGGGTAAAAATAAAAACAAAACATTATCCTAAGTAAGATAAAAACCTCAGATCAATACAGGAAAAGGCAGATAAATATTACCCTATTAAAATTGTAACACTGTATATAATAAAAAATTAAAGATAAGTAGTAAGACTGGGGAAAGCAATACTAACACGCATAACTGGATAGTGCACTAATTTCTAGCACACAAAAAGCTACTATAAAAAATTTCAATAGGAAAAGGATCAAAGTATATGATCAGACAATTTATAGAAGCTGAAATACAAAATCACTGAAGATGATCAACCTTGCTGATAATCAGGGACATGAATACTAAAATTTAATACCATGTTTCGCCAACATAACTGACAAAAATTAAAAGATAGGTATTATGCACTGCTGACAAAAACGCAGAAGATGGTTATTGGTACACACTGTGGGCTGGGGGCGCGCAACTGGTAGTTTCTGTGAGGGATGACTGACATCGGCTTCCGAAATGTAGCGCGCACGCACCTTCTAGCCTGGAATTCTACCTTTAACGCCCTCCCACACTCCCACACCTGCACCGAACTATGCAGTAAGACTTACTGCAGTTCTGTTTGTAAGAGAAATAACTGGAAACAATGTCAATGTCCAACACAGGGGAATTACTAAATAAATTATTCTATATCCAGACTGTGGAATACTTATACAAGTTTAAAAAATAAAGTTATTAAGTGCATGGGAAAATTGAGATAGAATAATCACATTTATGTATAAGAGTCAAAAAGTATTTATGTTTTTAAGTTTATGAAGGAAGTTCTAGAATGATAAATACCAAACACTAAACTCTTAGCAGAACTAACCCTTCCAAGAAAAATTATAGGGAAGAGAAAATGGGAAGAAAGACTTTCACTTTCCTTACTTGCATTTACTTGCATTTTTCACAAGTACACATTCATATACAACTTGTACGATGAAAAAAGTACACAGACTTCCGGTACTTTCAGAATCCCCGGGTGCAAGTGTTAACGGGTGACACGCCAGTATCAGAATGCCAACATGCGTGCCAGGGGCCACTCAGCACGGGGAGGCGCGACCAAAGGGAGGGATGCCGTCTGCACGGCTGCGGGCCTCTCTGAGGCAGGCAGGTGCCTGGATGTAGCACGCAGCCCCCCACACTTAAATCACTAGTTGGTAACGGGGAGCTGCGGACCCACGAAAGGGGCTGTCAACAAATGGAGGGTTTGTGTGTGGCAAAAGCGTAGAGCCCAGAGCACACCATGCCCCAGTGGGCCGGAGAGCAAGCAGAGTTTCCTGCTCTGGAGTGCACGCATGCTGGGCCCTGGGGTGTGACCCAGGGGCGGGGCAGGGGCAGGAGGACGTCGGCCCTGGGCACTGACCTCACTATCAGAGGGGACTGTAACAAGAGTATTCTGTGACGGCACCGATGACCTGACAACTGCGGGATGAGGGAACAAAACTGCTATGATGCGAATCACACTGATGGCAGTCAGGTTCCGTTTTTGCAACTTTTGAGTGTTTCTGGAGATTCTAAGCGAAACGATTCACTGGGTGAATGTTTAACTACCTAAGTGTATACAAACAGAGTAATTATTTGAAAATAAATCACAAAAGAAATGTAACCACTTCCTTAGTCATCTTGTAATAAATCTACTTACTCAATGGTCTTTGCTATCTGCTTCGAAAGGTTATATAATCGTTATATTACACCTTACTATGCTTCCAACTCTTCCACAGAAGTGCTCCTGATAACAGCCGTTCCCCGCACTGTCTGTACTGGAATTTCTAGGAGCTATGACTCGGTGTGGTAATGCGAGTGGCATTCGATACCGGCCAATTTTATACCTTCCCCAGAGGGCAATGGTGCTGAGTCAGAGTATATTACCAGACCCTACGATGAGCGCGTGTCTTAAATTGCCTTTTCTCCCGCCTCAGAACTCATTTAACTGAAGAGAATGATAAGATAACGAGGCAGGCTATTCAAAATCAGAAATCGTTTCCAGCCCCAGCTCCTCATCTGTGTGAGTCAGATAATGAGCAAACTAATACACTAAAAAAAATGACACAAAGGTTAATAAAAGTACAACTGTTATCCCTTGGCCCTGATTTCAAACGACTGGGTTTCTTCAGGTAAGGAGTCTCCAGTGTTCTCAAGGAATGACTTGACAAGAACTACTCACACTTTACATAAAATTCGAGAACTTACAAAAGGTCCATAGTGCTTAAAAAAACTTGTAAACCACGAATTTATGATACCAACCTCTCGGTCCGATCTCCGAGGGCACAAGGCGTCCACCTCGTCGAAGAAGATCACGCAGGGCGCCGAGTTCTTGGCTCGCTGGAAAACCTGCCGCACAGCACGCTCACTCTCACCGACGTACTGGGCGTGCACACGCGCACACGCACACAGAGGAAGTAAAATGGAGAGACAGTTCAACTTTGGGGTTTGCACCAAATTACAGTAACACTAGTTTTAAGTGACATTTACATGTCAAGTCCAAAAAGTAGCAGGTTGAAGCACATGCAATTGCTGGTATTTATTTGCCCATTTTTAAAAAAGATTTTATTTATTTATTTTTAGAGAGGGAAGGGAGGGAGAAAGAGAGAGAGAGAGAGAAACATCAATGTGCGGTTGCTGGAGGCTGTGGCCTGCAACCCAGGTATGTGCCATGACTGGGTATCAAACCTGCAGCACTTTGGTTTGCAGCCTGCGCTCAATCCACTGAGCTACGCCAGCCAGGGCTTATTTGCCCATTTTTGACTTATAAAAATAGCCATCTGTATGTGGTTCGACATAATAAAATTAGCTATTACTCACACTTATAAATTTCTCATTTATAAAATGAAGACTAAATGCAATGTAAAGTCTTCTGTAGGTAAAAAAAAAAAAACCCTCACTATTCCATTCTATTGTATTTTAGAAGCGATCTCCTAAGCTTTATGCAGATAAAATACTCAGCAACACTCTGCACTGATTCAACAGTATTTTAAGTGAAAACAAGACGCTCCGTGGCTCCACTGTCGCTTCTACGCGTCCTCTCGTGAAGCAGGAGCCCTGCCGTCCCGGGCGCCATGGGAGGCGCCATGGGAGGCGCTCAGTGCCTGCGCACAGCGAGCCAGACCACAGAACGTTACCGCCCGCCAGGGAGCACAGCGAGACACTAGCAGCTCCAACATCAGCTCTCACTAAAATAAAAAGGGAAGGGTAAGAACACGGGTTTCGCTTTTACCCAGGCATAAGAAATTGTTCCTGTAAAATTTCAAACTATTTCACTAGGAGAAGCAGTTCTGCTGTAATAAAACAGCCAAACAGAATCTGAAAGCATCTTTCCGCTGACGCCAGTGTCATAAACCATCTTTGATACTGTATTATGATTGATTATATGGTCACAATAAAGTAATAGAGGAACAGACTACATCACCGATGACAGCGACTCAAATATTTGTTTCCTCGTTTGAATGAACTGTCTTTCCCTCACATGCATCCACCTTTGCTTTGTACTTCTGTTCATTTCGCTTCCTGTACTTGAACCGCAGTCGACCTCCAAAGAGCTCGTGCATTGGAAAAGATCCCCATTCATCCTTCTTCCCATTACTCTCTCCTTTGCTCTTACAGCACCTTCTGCTATCACAGCCCTTTTGAGCTCTCCTGCTGTCCCTGTATTCTGTTGGGAAAGTCCTTGGAAAGCAAAGCTGTGACCACGTCACATTTTCCTCTGATCATAACATCCTGTGCAGTGTCCAAACCAGCAAACCTATTTAGTTTCCCAAAAACCTAACTCAGCAAAAATTATACTCAGAATGCTGAATCAAAACACTCAGGAGATAGTGTCAAAGGAGAGATATCAGTAGGCTGGGAGAGTTGCACACGGGGATGGACGTGAGCAAGCAAAACAGCTGACAGTGGACTTCAGACACGGCAGACCCACATGACTAAGTGGAAGGAAATACGACTTAGGGGAAGGCAGACCCAGTGTCAAAGGACAGGTTAAAATCAATCTTAACAACGACAGAAGTGATTAAAACAAGGAAACAAACAGAAACCCTATCACGACCTTTAAGAAATACTTCAATGAAGGATCCTATACTTATCTCTAATTCCTTATTTGCCATTCGGTTTCCATCATAATCTGGCCTTTGTAAACACTATTATGGAAAATATTCTCCCTACAGTCACTAATGACCTTCTAAGTCCCAAGTCCAAAGTCCTACTGTGTTTCTTCCACCCTCTCTGGCCAGACTGACCCGGTTGCAGAAAGGATCTTCCCTTGGTTTCCAGCCTCGGAAATCTCTGGCGTTCCCTGCCTCCTTCCTGACAGTCTCCCCTGCCAGCGTTCCCTCCCAGCCCCAGAACTGCTGGTGTCGTCCAGTGCTCCTGAGTCTCCCCTGCCAGCGTTCCCTCCCAGCCCCGGAACTGCTGGTGTCGTCCAGTGCCCCGCCACCAGTGCCCCGCCACACGTCACCCTAGCAGACCCCATCCGCTCCCAAGGCTTCGGGTGCCACCCGGTTGATACTGACTCCCAGATCTCTCCGGAGCTCCCAGGCGCACCCCCCTGCTGCCTGCTGGGTATCTCCTGTCGGCTCCTCAAACCTAAAACACCCGGGAGCAGACGCACTTTCTAACCAAGATGTCCGTCTCTCTCGTCAGATCGCCTGATCTCTCACAGTCATTCTGGACTCGTCCGCAGACCCCTCCCTCCCCCACCCCTGAAGCACAAAGCCGATCCCAGTGAGTGAAACTCCATACACCAGTCCCACGTCGCCAGAGCTGGTGAGGACTGGGGCGAAGGGAACTCTCGCTCACAGCTAGGCAAGGTTCAACAGCCGCTCTGGGGTAAGAGTTGGCAATACTTGATGTTTTTGAACGTGTACAGACTATATATAAGGTATAGCAATTCTACTCCTAAGCATATACCCTGGGGGGGATTATCTCATATATATGTGCAAGGATATATGTATATAATGTTCAACCTAGATATTCATCGAGGAAAAGCCTGATTTTTAAGTGTAGTTATATTCATTCGATGGAATATCACACAGAAAATTAATGAACTACAGGTAACCATTATCAACAAAGGTAAACATTACACATATAATATTGAACAAAAATAACAATGTAACTGTCACACAAGAACACATACCATTTATAAAAAGTGTTTTTGTTTTTCCTTTATTCATTGTAAATTACTTTTATTTATTTAAAGAGAGAGAAAGGAAAGGAGAAAGAGAGGACGAGAAACATCAATGTGTGGTTGCCTCTCACATTCCCCCAATTGGGGACCTGGCCCGCAATCCAGGCATGTGCCCTGACTGGGAATTGAACTGGTGACCCCTTGGTTCACAGGTGTGTGCTCAATCCACTGGGCCACACCAGCCAGGGCTTGTTTTTCCTTTATTTTTCATAACAGAATTCTAAGCATACAACAGAAGACGTAATAGTATACTGAACTCCAAATATACCATCACCTAGCTTTAGTTATCATCAACTCAATTCATGACCACCGCTGCTTCCTCTATATCCACTTTCTTTCACCTTATTTTAAAGGAAATCCCAGACATTGTATCTCATCTGTAAATATTTCACTATTTCACGTGTAGAGAAGTGCACAGCTTTACTGAACACCAAATTCAGAACCATGGTACATTCCATGCGGGAGAGAATGGGAAATGTGGTTAGGAGAGGTTTGTGGGGGCTTCAAGCAAACTGGCTTGGTTTGTCCGTTAAAGCTGGGCGACAGATACATGGGGGTTCACTGTGTTACCCATCGCAACTTCTATGCTTGAAATGTTTCACAGTAAAAATCTGTAAACATCACACTCTTAGAAAAAGTTACACTCTTGCCTGGAGCAAGCCTCTATCAGGTCTCCGAGACTCTCCAGAGAACCTTCCAACTCGAGCCTGGCACGAAGGCCCTTCCCCGTCCGGCTAGGCTACGGGCTTCTTTTCCAGCCCCGTCCCCGCCTCCCCCCGTCCCCCCGCCACCGAGGGTCATCTCCATCGCCACCCACCCCCCCCGAAAGCCGAAACGAAGTGCAAGAAAAGTAAAGAGGTACATGAAAAGCCCATAGGAAATAAACTTAAGTGTAAATCCCTTATTTTAGGGGAAAGTACATAAAAGAAAATAAAAAGTGGGAGGGGAGATAACTTAAAAAAAAACAACTTTAAAACAAATGATACCACTCCTACTTCATCTCTGTTTGAATAGATTACAGAATGGCATGTTTACTTTTTTAGAAGGATGGACAGGAAGTAAGAAATTCGGTCTCTTAGATTTGAGATATAAATGGCTTAAATGCTGAAAGAAGTTCTTACATAGCACTTCGGTGATTTCTTTCCCCCAGAGTGCTCTTATTTACCAATAACACTTAACTCCTCTGAGTCACACAACTCCCGGGCAAGGGAGCAGGCCCAGGAGGCAGACAGGCGACTCCAGTCCCGGCTCCACCGCCTCCCGGCGGCAGACCCGGACCCAGGCGCACGCACCCTCCAGAGTTAAGTTTCCTCATCTCAGAGTCAGAGGAGACAGTGACCCGTTATCTCAGGGGGCTGTTACAGAATACTGCATGTGCAGTGCCTGACGACTACACGGTACAGGGCAAACATTTAAAATGTTAATCATGACAATTACTTCCGTTTTGCAGGTGAGAAAATCGAGGCTCAGAAGTTACCAGACTTAATTAAGGAAGTCTGTACACTAAGTACATTTGAATAAGGCGCCATTTCTTCTCTCTTACAGAGGTAATTTTACGAAAGTTTGACAACTGTTTCAAAGATCTGGGGACATGCTATCCTGTACTTGGAATGACCATTACGTTCCTCATCTGAACAGCAGCTGACGTCACCACCACTCACCATATTTAGTAGTTCAGGGCCCTTGACAGATATGAAATTTAGTCCAGACTCATTCGCAACAGCCTAGTAAGAGGAAACAAGAAGATACAAATAAGACAAATATACAGTAAAATAGTAACAATAACATGTGATAACACAGAAACTTCTTGTGGCTTCTATTCTATTTCGCCACTTTTGTAGATGCCCCTTTCCCATTAGGGGAGGAGGCATCTGGGAAAAACAGAAATGGATAAAAAGAGAATGTCAACCCGAAACCCTCCGAGAATTACCGAGACTGGAAATCAGGTGAAAGTGACACAGAATGTTCACGTGAGTGCTGCACACCTGTGTGAGACCACTGCCTCTGGGACAAGGAACGCCTCGCCCAAGGAGAGCAGCCATTCACTCGCTCACACACCTGAACTGAAACACATCAGCTTAAGTCTTTGCGAAGGGTCAGTATCAACAGGCTATTTTTAATAAAGATTAAACTGCAATTAATAATGGTTCAAACCAGAGAACACATGGCTGTATGCGTGGAAGAACCCAAGAGCTGTAATCTGAATGCAGAGCTGAAGTCTCTATACGGTGTCTCAGAACTTCAAAGTGACCAGGTGACAGAGTTCCTTCCTGTTCTCAGGACCTGCCTGACACCTGAGCTCGGGACCTGTAGCCCACATCCTCCCCGGCGTCATCTCCACCGCAGGACTCCCGGAGCTCTCCCAGCACCCCAGACCCTCACCCCAAACTCCTCTCCTGCCATCTCAGTCCATACAGTTTCTAGGCCCAAACCTCGGTGTCTCCCTTCACCCCTCGTCTGGTCATGCCACCAATGCACCTGCAAGTCCTGTTATTAGCTATCGCTGAAATATCCGTGGGCCGGACACGTTCTATTTCTCTACTGCACCACCACCTCCCCCAGCGCACCACCCCCTCTCGCTTGGACGTGCAAGAGCAAAAATGAACACACAAATAAACCCCCCAAAATCCCGAACAGGTCTCCTTTCACTCTTGCTTCCCTCCAACCCATCTCCACAGGGGTCAGAGCGCTCTTTAAAAAAATGTGCATCAGGTTATATCATTTTACTTGACTTCTCACTTATCTTCCATTACAATTGGAAATATTACACGCCTGTATTTTGGGACACGACAGTCTCTCTTTGGTCCAGCCACTGGCTCTTCCTCTGGTTCCTGAACTCACCATGCCCTCCCGCACCCGCTCCAGGGCCTTTCACAACTGCTGCTCCCTGTCTGAGGACGCACCCCCTCCCCTGCCTCTTCCCGTGGCTAGCTGCTCCTTTGGGGCCCTGAAACACCCTCGGGTGCCGTGCCCACAGCGCCCTCCCGATCAATCTGGCACAACCATCTGTTGATTTCCTTCAGAACTCAGCCGAGTCTGTGATTTTATTGCTCTCGGTCACTGCCCGCCTCTTCCAGACAATAAATTCCATTGGCATCGGTTCATCAGTTTATCCCAGCGCCGGAGACACCTTCTGGCCGAGAGTGAGCAGCTCAGCACACCCTGCCGGACAAGTGGGTGCGCGCACGCCTGCCGGGAAAGGCTGCTCTCAGCGCAAGGAGTGCCCCAGTCTCCGCCTCTGTCTTTTCTGCTGCTTCCTGCCTCTTGCCCAACACCATTAAGTAAGGGAGAGTCAGGATACACGTCTAACGAAGTCTGACTCATCCACACAAAAGTTTTCAACATCCAAACACCAGATAACCAAGATTTAACCCATTAAAACCACACTGGTCCCTAAGTTATTAGAAATCTTTGGCTTCCAAATGAAACACAGTGAATCTTGAACTCACCGCCAGGCGCTGTCTGCTTCCACTCTGTGTGGCTCCAGGCAGCCAAGTGACCGTTACCAGTCTTTTCAGTTTTCTCCTTATTAGTCACCATTTTCAGTGCGCTAGCTCCAGTAACCACATGCCTTTCCTTCATGCTCCTTATGCTTTAGGCTGCATTTATACTTACCGTGCTAGTGTTTAGAAGTGTTTTATTACCTTATTGTCATTATGAATAAACAGGACAACCAAGATCAGTCAAAACATTTTTACATCCAGTTCCCGGCTGCCATGTTCTGACTGTTAAGTGGTTCCAGGACTTTACTACAGTAACATCTTGCTGCCACTCAAGAACATCCTCTACTATTTCTAGCTTCTGAGGCAAATAGTCATGCAGCTTCTGAAGAATCTGATCAAAGTGGTGAGCCCTCCCCTGTAAAAAGTACACATACAGCTAACATACTGCCCGGGCTCATGGATGCAGTGAGCTATTATATTAGGTCCATCCCTGCAGTCTGGACAGCTACCAGAAATCCGACCAGAGAAGCACCAAATTTTTGGCAGCTGGAGAGAAGGTTGCAGGTTCGATTCCTGGTCAGGTCACATACCTAGGTTGCTGCTTAGAGCCCCCCAGTCTGGGCACGTATGGGAGGAAACCAATCAATGTTTCTCCTTCTCCAACCCACCCCCCCGCTTCCTCTCTCTAAAAATCAATAAATGTACCCTCGGGTGAGGATTTTTTTTTAAGCAAGAAACAAGGCCAGCTACAAACTGTAACTTCACGTTCATTAAAAGCTAGAACGAGCAGAAAATATAGTTGCTGTGTTGAAATCGATGGGATTATAGTTGATTAAAAACTGTTTTTCGTTTCCAAATTTCAATGACATGCTTTTTGTCACTAAAATAAAAGTGGGGGGCAAAAGACTAAATGGACCTTCTTCCAAAGAGGACACCGAAATGGCCACCAGACACATGAAAGGAGGCCCAGCATCACTGACCACCAGGGAAGGGCAACCAAAACCAGAGCGAGGCAGCACCTCGCACCCGTCAGAACGGCCGTGGCCACGGAGACGAGCGAGCGCAGGTGCTGGCGAGCACACGGTGAAAGGGACCCTCGCACGCGACCGAACACTGCTGGTGAGAACGGAAGCTGATCTGACCAGCGCAGCCAACAGTGGAGTTTCCTCAAAAAACTAAAAATAGATGTACCACGCAACCCAGGAATTCCACTTCCAAAAACACACCCACGGGAAGTGAAGCCAGGATTTCCACGAGATGCGTGCACTCCCGTGTTCACTGCTACGCTGCTCACAAGGACCAACTCACGAGAACAACCCAAACGCCCTTCAGTAGGTAAGTGGGTAAAAACGATGTGTTCCACATGCACGATGAGACATCATTCAGCCACAAAAGAGGAGGACCGTCTTCCACTCGTGCCAACGTGGATGGAGCCTAACATGTTCCATTAGCAAGGGAAGCCCGACAAGGGCCGACAAGGACTACCACCTACCGGTGGACCCCAAAGAAGTCGAACATGTGAAAACCAGACAGTAAGATGACGGTTGCCAGGGAATGGGTGGGAGGGGCAGGGAAAAGTAAGGAAAAAAGGGGGAAACTTTCCTGAAGAAAACGGTCAATCTTACTAAAATGAACGTCTAGCAGAAATCACATGCAAGCATCAGTGTGATATTCAGAGCTAAATCCCCATCACCCCACTGACAGTAAGAAACGGAACACATACAGCCGCGCTCACACCGTACCTTCGCCAGCAGAGTCTTCCCGCAGCCCGGAGGACCGGCGAGCAGCACTCCCGCCGGAGTCGCCAATCCGAGCGCCTGGAACTGCTCCGGGTTTCGCACTGGCGCCTGCAAAGCACAGTCCCGGCAGAGACCCGTCAGAAACGGGCCCCTCCGCTGCACGTTCGAGCTGCCCCCGCGCTCGGATGTCCAGCACGGACCACGAGGCCCGGAGGCATGGGCAGCGCCTGGCATGAGCGCTCACCCCAGGCACGAGGTACATGGTGACACGGACAAGAAAGTCCCTGCTCTTGAGTGATCCATACTTAAGTGTAGGTTCTGAAAACATTTGAAACATAAAGGTTTTTTTAAAAAAATTATTTAAATGTCTAGGTTACAGAAACTATAGGCCAATGCCCCCCTTTCAGGAACCAGAAGCACGCTCCGCAAAACCAAAGCTAGAGACCCCACTCCACACACCCGCCCCGTGTCTGCTCGATCAGCAGTCGCACACCTGTGGTCACACCTCACTCACGAACCGAGGTGTGACCAGTCAGGAGGGAAGAGTGACGGGAAATCCCAAGCTCCACGGGCATTATCCAGCTGTTTCGACTGTTATGAGTTTGACTGAGTTCAGAAAGGACTCCTCGAACAACGTGGCCTTGGTTGAAACCTGAACTTTCAGTTTTACTTACTGTCCCAGAATTCAAGCCCGACCCAATGAGCAAGTCCAAAATGGACCCCAGAAGGATGATAACCATCGTTGGGGGCTTAGTAACAACACAGCAGAGCACGCACGAGAAAATACACAGTCAGCTAGACACAACCTCGCACACACGCACGGCTGCTGGCCCACGACATGGGCCAGCGGCTTTCAGCTGCAGATGCACCTACCAATATTGCCATGGTGAGCTCATCCCTAATGTCCTCCAGGGCACCGATGTCTGCCCATGTCACGTTAGGGACAGTGACAAAGCCTTCCCTTTTGGCAGAGGGCTGGACCGAGGACAGGGCAACAATGAAATCATTCAATTCAATGCACAGCCCTTGCAGCTGCTCCTCTGAGAGGGGATCTTGGTTTCTTAGCAACCTCAGCAGACTCTGCAATTCATCCTGAACGGGAGCAATTGGGAGGAAAAAAGAAAAAGCACAAAGTTTGTCAAAATGTTACCTTTTTGTACTTTTATGTATTTTAATAATTTTCTCCACTGACACAGGATGTTAAGTTTACTCTAGACAGACCACCTGCTTTGGTCGAGGAAAGGTACCCCAGCTACGCTCCAACAGCAAAGAATGCTTTTCATGCCCCACACCACGCCCGGCTGCAGCCAATGTAAGCAGCTGGCACAGCTTCATTTCGACAGCCACGCTATTTCTGCTTTCTCCATGTTTCATTTATAAATATTTAAGCAGCTGGATTTTGAGGGAATTAAAACAGAGTTTCTCTGATGGCAATAAAATTTCATAATGTGGTTCCTCGATGGTTTATAAATGGAGCAGAGAGCTGGCAATCATGCTGGCCCTACTGAGCCCTGAGCTTCACAGGCAGATTTCTTGCCTTGCGAAGAGTATGAAAGGACAGGTGTGCAGAGCAGCTCTGAATAATTCAATTCATAAGACCCTAATTTACATGCAGCACTAAAAAGGAGTAAGTTTATTGTCACTCTTAACAGATATAAGAGTGGTGCCAAGTGAGTAAGAAAAACAAATAATTTGAAAACCAAAGACCTAGATCTAAGTTCCTGCTCCGGAAAGTACAGGGGGTATGGCTTTGGGCCAAGTCCCAATCTCTTAACTTTAGTTTCTTTGATTATAAGGTGAGGGAAGTAATGATATTTTCCTGACAAAGTTATATGGACCAAACTATATGATATGCAGATGCTCCCTGTGCAAACAATCAAATGCTATATATATGTTACTTTGAATTCTCACGATTCACCAAACTCAAGATTTTAATCCTGATCCTGGACTGATAATCGTCCCTCTCACATGCACAGGACTGTCCTGCGAAGCCACCTGCAGCTGGGGACGAGGGCACTGCAGCATCAGCACCTCTGGTCCACCTGACCGAAAGGCAACCAGGAAGCAGCACTGAATGCCCCACGCTCAAACAGAACCTGGCAAACTCGGTGCGGGCCCCACCCGTGCCCCTGCTGCAGGACTCCGCTGGGAACTCTGCCGTGAAAGGTGAAAGCAGAAACAGACAGCATGTGAATCAGTGAGCACGGCTGTGCTCCAACACAGCGCTCATTTACAGAAACGGGTGGCAGGCAGGTGGGCCACAGTTTGCCGGCCCCGGCCTGCTCTAGAATTCCGTAATCAGTGTTGTAAATCGAATTTATTCAGGATAAACCAAGAATCGTAAGAAAACAACTTGTAATTCTGAAATCACAAACATTCTGAGTGTAAGGGTAATCGTTCTAAAGATAAAGTGCCCATAAAGCAGGAAATCACAAACCCCAACCACACGGACGCCTGCCTGAACGTGAGACGACAGACACGAAGAACACTCGGGGGCGGCGTGAGGCACCTGTGCCGTGCACGTGGGCTCCGTCCCCGCGCTTCCGTCCTGGCCCCCTTCAAACGGCCGCCCTTCCTGCTCCGGCTCTCCCCGCGGCCCGGCCTGCAGCTGCGTCAAGGCCCTGCTGACCGCACACACGGCCGCCTCGCGGCACAGCGCCATCAGGTCCGCACCGACGAAGCCCGGCGTGAGGTGCGCCAGGTGCCGAAAGTGAGACGTTTCAGGGAGTCTTAGCTTTCTGCACAGAGTCTGAAGTATTCTGCAGAAAAGACAGGGAAAAAATTCACATTCCCAGACTAGGAGTACAAACAAGTCACCGAAGACCTTTATTTGAGGCCCTTGGTCTCTGTCAGTGGCACTGAAATGGGTCCAGTGTGAGATCAAACAGCCCATTCGTTCAGCAAATGCTAAGTCACCATTACACAGTCCACTTTATTCCCCTAAGTATTAAGGCAGATACTTGCTTTGATACAAACTGTATCAAATACTATGAGGAATAAAAATACAGAGTTTTAAAAAACTAGTCTGTCTTTAAGAATTTTCCAGTATTACAAAGTAAGTAACTGATATATGCGGATACTTTTAGAGTAGACTAAATAGAGATTTACCAGAAAGAAAAGCCTCCAAACTCAAACCTTTAATTGTATTCATTACAAAAAGTTATGCTGACATATACTTCAATATCCAATTCCATACTAGAACAGTTACTTCTTCAAAAAACAGTAAAACAGTTACACAGGAGAAGTATTTAGGGCCAGTGTTACGATGACGTCTTCAACTATCCTTCAAATGGCTTGGCAAACAAAAGCACACAAACACAAATCACAAATACATGTATGTTTTTATGCAGAGAGTGACAGTGAACATATTAACAAGTATAAACTTAGCTGAAGTGCATATCCCCATTCATTGTACTATTCTTTCAACTTTTTGGTAGGCCAGAATGTTTGCAAAACACGGCCCTCTACAGAAGCCCGTTATACAGACTTGTTTGGCGACAGCACACAGGACCGATGACCAGGGACCTCATCTGCAGGGTGACGGGCTCCCCTGCGTCTCCGTCTCTGCTGTGAAGCCTGGCACTTAAACAACGGGCTAAACTAGAGCACGGCCCTCCTGTACTGGAAGCACGTCGAAAGCAAGGACTTACAATTCTCTATATTCCTCACGTCACCTATCAGAACGGCACACACACACGATACGCCCAGTACATGTTTGCTGAATCCACGCAAACAGTTTCCGTATCAGATACTATTTCGCTGTGGTTATAAACAAGTCAGTATGCGAGCCTGAACGTGTGAGAAGCTGTTAAAGATTGTCTCTGGGGGGAAGGCAATGAACACACGTGACGACTATGAATGCAGCAGCTGAGGAAGAAACTGCCAACCGGTCAAAACTGGAAGCCACGTTCAGTACAAGGAGGAAGAAAGGGTGACACGTGTTCCTTCCCACCCTCTCTGCCTCCCACAGCACCTGACCGCCTGTCCCCTGCACTCACGAAGTCTCCCCTTCCTCACCGCGTCCTATTTCCTTTCACCACGCACTGTTTTTCCTCAAAGCTGCTGCCGATCGCGTGCACCAACCTTAGTGCTATTAACTTCAGCCAAAAGCCATTATATACATAGTATTTCAAAGCATTTCTTCCCTGGATTTCTGCTCCTAAACAGTGCGCTGAGATATTTTTAGTTACTCACATGCTGGTGGACATTTCTTTGCTCTGATGACATCAACGTCAATGCCCGGGAAAGGCTGGTTCTACAGTAAAACCCAGGTTTCAACTCTGGCTGCCATTCAGGTATTTGTCACAGAACCGTGGTCTCAGGCAGGTTCGTGCAACAGGTTCAAGTTTGGGGTCAGAGCTAACCTACGTGTGGACTGAGCACTGCGCTATTCTGTGCTCTAGACACTGTCCCTGGGCTGGGCAGCCACAATGAAAAATGCAAGCCACCGTCAACAAGCCTGGACAAATGAGTAAGGATATAGAAGCCTACTATTAATTACTACTGAAAAAAACAGTACAAAACAATTACCCTAACTATGAAAATTTTGTTTTCTTAAAGCATTAATTTAATGTGGCTTTTTCCTTTCCAAATCAATTTCACTGGCACGAGAGAGAGAGAGAGAGAGAGAGAGAGAGATGGGGGACGAGAAGCCACGTATGTTTCTCACCCCTCAAGTTCAAAGCATTCAGCTCAGGTGACAGGGCGGCACACAGGCGTCACCCTGTAAGAGCGTACCTTTCCCTGGACGCCTCGTCTGGGATACCAAGGCATATTTCCCGGTCAAACCTTCCTGCGCGCCGCAGAGCGGGGTCCAGCGAGTCCGGCCGGTTCGTGGCTCCGATGACGAGGACCCGGGCTGTAGCGGCCACGCTGTTCAGATCTGGGAGGGACCAGACACGGGGTGAGCGGTGAGCGAGACTCCGGACCTGAGGACAATACCGCCTGCACTAGTCACTTAGGTGGTCAGAGAGGAAATACGACACACTCTGAAAGCGGCGTACGCATCCATAATTAACATCTACTGAATGACTGACATGTGAGGAAGGCAAACACAAACTGTCCTCGAGCCGCTCACAACCTGCTGAGAAACACGGACGACAGGTTTCGTGACGCACATTACAGGCGTACACAGCGCGCCACAGTGACCTGATGGAAGGGGACAGTGGAGAGCTGACGGGAGGGGATGGGCTGACCCAAGGGACAGGACACTAGCACACACACAGAGCTGCAGGGAATGGGGTCCTGCTGGGGACAGCGGGATGGACTGGGGACGGCACGAGGGGTGCGGTCCGAGAGCTGGGAGTCTGGCCGGGCAGAGAGTGTGTCTAGACAGACTCATGGTTTCAATCTGAAATGCGGGGGGTGGCTACAGTACAGTCTCCAGTGGCTCTGGCCAATCCACAGATACATTTTTAGGGACAGGGGGACTAGGGGCCCAGCGTGGTTTTCACGAGAATCCTCCCCGCGCCGCGGAACCAGGGCAGACCAGCGAGGAGTGGACGCGCACGCCGCCCCCGCCCCGGAAGACGCCACTGGTCAGGGCGCTCACAGCCACGGCCGGAGCTCGGAGGACACTGCCGGGCCGACAGGCAGCCACAAGGTATTTTCCGACAAGATCTTAAGATCTGCGTTGTGAAAAGATCATTCTAATAATAATTTTGAACAAAGTAAAGAGGAATAAAAAGGAAGAGTGTTTGTTGCGATTTGATGACAGTATTAGGTGAGAGGTGAGTGAAGGCAGGAACACTAAGAACGTAGTCTTTTATGAAAGGAAAAAGACTTGTTTTTCGCTCTGAGTTTTACTCTCTCTGTATGTTTTATACCCTCACACATTACTACTGAAAACGAAGGCAATGACTGTCTCTAAGCGAATTCGCTACTTTAGACTGACCGTCCATGCAGGTGAGGAGCTGAGCTACAATCCTCCGTTCCATATCTTTCGAAGCAACTTCTCTTTTGGGGGTAATGGCATCAATTTCATCAATAAAAAGGACGCAGGGTGCGTTTGACTAGAAACAAAAATATCACAAAAGACAACCACAAATTTATTTCCTGTACTGCAGCATAACTGCATACATTTTTTTAAATCTTAGAAGTTCAAGGATCATTCACCAAAAGCATAACCCTGAAAAAGGCAGTTCACAGTGTATTACTTCTGATTTTTATCTGACTTAACAGAAGATCCTTAAAAGAGATTCCATATGGGATAACACATTTACAGTCTTCTCATCAATGCATGCTTTGTGATGATAAAGCTACCAAAATTCTTTTGTAAGAAGGCATATTTGCAATGCTATGAAATATAAAGTATATGTTTACAAACTTTAAATTAGAAAACCTAAGCTCACTACAAAAGTTATGTGTTCTTACCAACATAAAAATATCCAAGCTTTCCCCCAGAATCCGCTGTAAGCGGAATTTAAAAAGCACCGGAGGCTCTAACTTACTTTTCATTGTGGTGAAATGCACATAATAACACGGCCCACTTGGACCATTTTAAGCGCACAGTTTAATGGCGCAGCCTTCGCCCCCACCCATCCCAAGAACTCGATCCCCTCCCCACACTGACACCACGAGAGGCTTATTGTGAGGGTCACACTGAGTAAGGGACGACGGTCACGGCCCCAGACCGCATCGCCTTCAGCCTTCTTACGAACATAAACCGGGCAGAGCTGAGGCAGGGCGAGCTGACGCAGACTGTGAGCGCCGACTGCCTGGACGGGTCAGACGCATGGAGGCAGGAGCAGGGGAAACGGGGGGTGAGTGTTGAACGGGGAGAGCCTCGCACTGCGGTGAAACCCAACACTCTAAGTGTACTCAGTGCCATAGCACTGCACACTTTAAAATGTTTGTAATGAGAGAGTAAACATATTCACCACCATAAAAACAAGGAAAAAAGATACGGATCGGTTAAGATAAAGACTTGAAATAAAAGTATGTGGAAAGCGTGGCTTGCTCTTAGTCACCCAGCGACCAGGAGTGGCACCGATGATGATAACAGCCAGACTCCGGCTGGCTGCGACCCTGAGCCCCGGGACCACTGCAATCCAGAGGAGAGAGCTGTGGCCAACCACTGGCTGGCTCTCCTCCCAACCCCCTCACGACAGTGTTCAGAGAGGCACCCACGACCACTGGGTGTGTGACCCAGTTACAAGAGGAGAGCTTTAGAGACCAAAGGTCTCGGGAAACAAGCACGACAGTATTTATCAATGGCCTGAAAAACTGAATGAGAAAAAAAAGAAAAGAGTAAGAATAAGGTCAGTACTGGTTCAGAGAGAGAACCACACAACCTGAAGATGTATTTGCCTCTTTTATCTTCATTCGTCGTTGTGTTTACCATAAACACAAACTTTCTTACTTATTTACTAGCTCATTTTTTAAAGCAGATAACATCTGAACGAGTTTAGCTTTGCTTTGCACAGTTGAGCACCTTCCCATCCTTTCTCTGCAGCTTCCTTGTATTGTCCAGGCATCAAAGTAAGTAGGAAGCTTCTATATTCTTGCTGTTTTAAAAAATGTTTCCTGCTAAAATACAATTTCTCTTCTAATTTCATACCAGCTTCTAGCAGTTGCACCAGCCAGTGTTACCAGCCCCTCTACATGCTGGGTACAAACAATGACATAAAATCACACTCTCCAATTGTGGTTTTTAACCACTGTGGTGGCTTGTGACACCCATGTGTCATAATGATATAGGCGTTTGCTGTGTGCTGGGCACTACACAGAAGGTTCTGGAAGAATCCTCTCCTTTAAAACTCAAGCATCCCATGGGATTTGAGTAGTACTATTAGCCTAGTTTCCAGTACAGAAACTAAAGGTCAAGCGGTTAAATCTCTTCTCTGAGATGACAGCTAGTACATGGTAGGACAAGGATTTGAACCTATGCTTCAGACTTGAAAACAGAGACAATTATCTATGACACTACACTGGAGACAAAACTTTAATTGGACACAAAAGTCATCTTCCTCAGAAGTTCTTAAACATCCAAATTTAATAACATGAATTACAACTAAGATAAAATCCAAGCTGTAGTTTCTCTGATAACAGAATTTTCTTTTCACAGCTTCAATTATGCAAATAGAGAAGTTTATCTTGGCATTGCTATGGCTGCTTTTATAATGTGATGATTCTAATATTGGAAGTTTTCACACTGCTTACCAGTGTCTGGGAAACCTAAATTGTGGAAAGTAAAAGTAAGAGAAATAAATTATCACAAGGATAATCTATTTTCAATATACACTCCTGGGAGTGACAGCCCCGAACCTCTCACCAGAAGTTCTCGTATCTGTGTTTGGTTGCAGATTAAACAGACTATTTTATCCCGCGGTCTGTATCGTGAAATCTCCTGTAAGTGTTTAGTCATCATGGGTGGTGAGCACCGCGTTCAGGAAAGAAGGGCCCGCGGGTGGTAACAAACACTGGCGCTGGGGAACACATGATCCTCACTGTAACCCCGTGCGACGGGACCGCCCGACACCAGCCACTGGCAGACTCACCACAGCTCGTTCAAACAGCCCTCTCAGCTTCTGCTCAGATTCTCCAGACACTCCAGACACAATCTCCGTGGCAGCTACTTTCAGAATTGGAAGGTCAAGTTCCTGTGCACACGTGTAAAAAATGACCAAATTTTTAAATTTTAACTTCTCCTTTTCCTTCTTCAGTCCCTTTCAAAATTACATTTTAAAGATTTTATTTATTTATTTTCAGAGAGAGGGAAAGGAGGGCCAGAGAGAGGGAAACATGAACTGGTTGCCTCTCACACGCCCCCTGCTGGGGACCTGGCCCGCAACTCAGGCATGTGCCCTGACTGGGAATCGAACCAGCGACCTTTTGGTTCGCATGTCAGCACTCAATCCACTGAGCCATGTAAACTAGGGCTCAAAATTACATTTTAAAAATGACTAGTTTCCTGAGGAATGTCTCTTTGTGTTGGTCCAGTAAAAAACTTTATTTGAAAACCTACGGTTTTACTCAAACCCATCAACAATCACCTTCCACGTGGTTTTACTACTATAAAAGTCCGTTATCGCTGCTCCTGAATGAAGGGTCTTGGCTCGCAAGGGATGTGCTCCCCCGACGAGAACCGAGCCAAGACAAATGCCCAGCTGGAGACGAGCCGCGGGGGCTGAGGCACAGCTGCCCCCTGCACACGCTGCCAGCACCTCTCTACCCTGAACCCAAGGAAGCAGCCAGTTACCAGTGGGAGGAGGCAGCGCTGTAAGCAGAGGAGAGAAACCACCACTGTCTCCCACACAAACGGCGACAAGCTGCCGAAGTCCCACTCACCCTCCCGGCCACCGTGAAACTCCACCTCCGCAACCGTATTGTCTTTGACGCGGACTCTTCACTTGAGCACCCCAACAGTGATCAGATGGCGTCCCCCCTCCTTCTGTCTCTGCTTACTATAACTGCAGCTGCGCAGACATTTATCTGTACAGATGCCCGAGGAGCGTCTGTCTCTCACATCAGACCGAAAACCTCCTTAAAGACAGAAACTGGGCTTGCGATGCTCGCCACCGTATTTCAGTGTCTGGCGTGCAGCAGCCACACAATAGATTCATCCAACAAACGAGTGAGTGAGGCAAACCCATCAGGTTCAACTACTTAAAGGCTCCTGTTTCATGGAGCGCTAATCTATTAGTGAGCAGTAGAGTGCCTGGTTCCTCAAACTGAAATTACTCAGACATTTTGCGTTTTACCTCCTAATACAGCTTCTGAAAAATGTGATGGGACTCAAATAAGATTGCTAACTTTTATTTTGCCAAGAGAGGATCTATTTTAGAAAGGATATTTTAACCCTAGAAAGTATAAGACTATGATCCTGAATGAAATTTTGAATAAATTTAGCTCCATGAAAGAAACAATGCATCTGTAGTTTTCTTATCTCACTGCTCTTTAGAACCACTGGCTTCAAGAGAAAGGGAAGTAGCTCAAATGTAAAATGTAAATGTGTTAAAAAAAAGGGGGAGGGGGTTGTTCATAGCTACATGATTTTGTCTCCCACCCAATCCTTGCCATGCAAATGACTGGGTACATTAAAAAAAAAGCATCTCGCCCTGGCTGGTGTGGCTCAGTGGACTGAGCACTGGTCTGTGAACCAAAGAGTCGCTGGTTCAAATCCCAGTCAGGGCACACACCTGGGTTGCAGGCCAGGTCCCCAGTAGGGTGCGTGTGAGACACAACCACACACTGATGTTTCTCTCCCTCTTTCTCCTTCCCTTCCCCCCTCTAAAAATAAATAAATAAAATCTTAAAAAAATAAAATGACAAAGCTGGTTGATTAAAGTTGATCAAAGAGAAAGAAATACTGGCAAAAATAACAAAAGCAACCAAGTGTCAGCAAACCTCACCCCAGCAATTGCGTGTGCAAGCAGCGTCTTCCCGCAGCCTGGCGGTCCGTGAAGGAGAACTCCACGAGGGGGGACGACGCCCAGGTGCTGGTAGACCTCCGGGTGGCGCATGTGTATGAGCATCTTGCAGACTTCCTAGCAGGGGACAAACAGCAAAGATGTCTTTCCCAGCCCAAGAGAGAAAGAATCAACGTGGAATGAAACGTCCTTATTCTTTGGAGCAGCAAAGAGAGTGCGGGCGTTGGACTTAGCCCTGAGCTTGAACTCCAGCTCTGGTGCCCACTGTGCGACTCCAGCAGTAACATCCCTGAGCCTCCACTTCCTACTGCCTGCCCTGCGTGCACCTAGCACGGTGACCGGAATAGAGCAGACACTAAAAAAAAGTACGACCCGTTATTATTACTACTTTTAAATAACGTCACTTACAAAGCATGTATCTACGTACACTATAATTGAAGTGGTGACAAAGTTGAAGCTATTACGCTTCTTTTATCCCTCACAACCCTGAAGGGCACAAGTCAAGTCTGCCCTTACTCACCACCCCCGTCTCCTTTTCTACACTGGTCCCATCGGAAACAAGGAGGCAGGCCTGGTGTGCGTAACCGATCAGCAACATGCCCACTGGACGTAGAATTCTGAATGTGAATAACCTTTAACGTCGTGTCATTGCCTCCGACATCTTCAAACTTCACGCTGGAGATCTGGAATTCCAGCCCTATGGCATCAGCTGGTGGCCGGAAAGGGAGGAAGGGAGCAGATCAGTGACGCAGCAGTAACTCGTATTTAACAATTCTTAAGTAGACAAAGGTCCATTAGACACTGAAACATTTTCTAGTAAATGCTCTGCACACAGAAGGTCCCCCAAGCAAATCAGCTTGGAAGAGTGATACCTCCCTCGAAGCAAACACAACCACCATCACCCACAAGACCTGAGTCTCACCTTTCTTTTGCAGGATGGCTTCTATTTCCCCATCTACTTCCTGAAGAGCTTCTTTCTTCCTTTTGTCTCCTTTGCGCTTTAACCTGCCCTTCCTTTTCTTGTCACTTTCCAGAAGAGAAGACTCTTTTGAATCCTGGATGATTAAAGCAAAGAGATTTGGAAAAGGTGCATTAATAATTCAAAAGTGAAAAGGTTTTGGCAAATCAAAAAGCCCAGTTTGTATAAACCACTTAGAGACTCATTGTCCAAGAGAAATACAATGAGCGCCACTTATGTAAACTTATGCATTCTAGCAGCCTCATTCACAAAAAAGAAAAAAGTGCCCTGGCTGGTGTGGCTCAGTGGGTTGAGCGCTGGCCTGTGGACTGACGGGTTGCTGGTCTGGTTCTCAGTCACGGCACATGCCTGGGTTGCAGGCCGGGTGCCTGGTTGGGGGCATGCAAGAGGCAGCCCATCAGTGTTTCCCTCCCTTTCTCCCTCCTTTCCCTTCTCTCAAAAAAAAAATAAATAAAATATTTAAAATAGAAAAATAATTTGGCAGTCTATTTTATTTAACCAAATATCTTCAAAGCATTATCATTTCAATGTGTAGTCAGTATAAAAAATTAACAAGACGTTTTACGTTGTTTTTGTAGTAGGTCTTCAAAGACCAATGTGCACTTCACACTTGTAACGTATTTCAAGTCAGACACTGAATTTTCATGGGAAACACTTGACTTGTATTCATGTTTCAGAAAATTTAGAGCTGAAAAGGCAGATTCACTAACCCAAGTTGTCCCAAACATACTTAGAAGTGAAGGTCAAGGACTGAATTGACGATCAGTTTTGAAATTAAATCCAGTTCCTCCCTTGCACTCGCCCGATTTCCAGCACTCAGTAGGCACACGTGGCTAGCACTCAGCACACTGGACGGTGAGTCCCGCAGCAGACGCAGCCGGTCCACTGTGGGGCAGACCACTTTAAATCCCCTCCCCGACGCAGCCGGTCCACTGTGGGGCAGACCACTTTAAATCCCCTCCCTGACGCAGCCGATCCACTGTGGGGCAGATCACTTTAAATCCCCTCCCGTTCTGCCAGGCAGTAAAAAGCAGCAGTTAAGAATGATGCCCAGTACGTTCAGTATGTGGTAATTCATCAAGCTTCACTTTTCTTTGAAGGTTTTTTCTTTAAAAGAACCCAGGTACCTACTTATTCTATACATTTTCATAGTGTACCCAATATGGAGGATCCCTTAAGCTATTACCCTAAAGTAAAACTAAACCACATTGCTGGCTTGAAAGCTATCTTCCCTACTTCCTACAACTGTCAACTTTCTGTGACACGTCCCCCAAGCGGTAATTCTTTAACTCGCACTAGCAGGTGCATCTCAGAAAGTTCATTAGGCACGAGTTCCACAAACTGACGGACGACTGCACGCCAGATATATGTTAGCCGGGACACACTGCCAAACAAAGTCCCGCCCTCTCGGCGCAGATACTCCAGTGGAGAGAGACAGACAACAGCCAACCACACAATGACCCCAGTCAGGTGGTTGCAAGGACCTACAGCAAGGACCACAGCGGGGCTGGGAAACAGCGCACAGGTCAGAAGGGCCTCTCTGCGAAGACGGCACATAAAGAGCTGTGAAGAGACGGCGGGGGGCCTGCAGGGCTGCGGAGTGTCCGGGTGGAAAGAACAAGGGCCAAGGCCCCAAGTGAGAGGGCGCTTGGTGTGTTCCGGGAACAGCCAGAGGCCACTGCCTCTGAAGTGAGGCTGGGTTGTGGGGGGTGTGGGAGAGGGGGCAGCGGGTGAGACTGAGAGACAGCAGGGCCACCGAGTCACCGAGGGCCTCCCTGGCAGTCTCAAGAGCTTTGATGTTAGGCCGGCTGAAGCCACTGGAGGGTTTTTAATATGAGATGACGATCATCTGACTCCACTCACGAGGAAGGTCTCTGGGTGAAGAGTAAGTGGGGGAACAAGGGTGGAAGCGAACTCCAGCCGGAAGGTTATTTAATAGTTAAGGCAAGGAAGGGTAGAGGCGCTCTAAACTGTAATCAAGGAAAGCAGGTCTACCTGTTGAGGAAGAAAAAAGGAAGAGCAGAGGTGTGGTCCAGGACAGACAGGATGGGAGGAGTGCGGAGAGATGAAATCACGCGTGTGTTTCAAGTTCCTGTGTCTTTTGTTGAACACAAGAATCTGCTTAATGTCAGTGAAAAGACTGTGAAGTACTCTACATGGGGCTAAAATTTCACTACAAAAATACCTCTATGTCAGATATCGGCTTCTTATTATTACTCTTCTCCTCTGGTAGGTCCAAGAAAATACTTTCTGTCTTTCCACCTGGAGTTCTGTCAATGAACCATCCAGCTTCGGAACCTCTGGCGGGGGTCTTCCGAGGAGGGGAGCCGGTTTTGGACGGTATCGGTGGTGCTGAAGCGCTGGTTTCTCTCTGCTGCGTCTTGGGAGCACTTGAGACGGAGTCTGGATTTCCTTTCCGATACAAGGAGAGCAGGGAACTGTTCATGTGATTTGCCAACTGGCAGAAACATGATTTTAGCACAAGTTACTCAACAGGCACTCATAAAGTTTGACTGCCTATATTAGTAAGTTTTCTACATTTCGCTTCCAATAGCTCCTAACATTTAGAGTCAGAAAAACAGGTGTTTGCAACGAGATGACTCAAACAGAAACCCTTACTATCCAAAAAGCTGCACCCCCCTCTCCACTCCAAGGTAATGTACTAGTTCATAATTGGCAGTTAAATAACACCCAACATGAACGGTCGCTTTTAAAAATGTAACGGAAGTATGAACATGAGCTGGTGGTTATCAATGAGAGTTACTGCTATCCTATCAATAAAACTAGACCACGTGTGAATGAGTGCCACCATGACTGCTGACAGACTCCAAAACGGAGTCACCAGTGGGGAAAAATAGAGAGAGCCAGTTACAAATAATTTTATGTATTATCCCCATGCTTCCCTTTAATCCAAGTCTACTTATTGGCAATGCTAACTCTCTGGTTAAAAAACTGTATCCTTTTCATCCTTTTTACGGTTAATTCCCCTTTCTGCTGATGTCTGCCCTTACTTCTGGCCATTCCCTCCCCTTCTTTTTCCCTGGGTAATAGGCCGTAATCAAAACAAGCAGGGAAAAATGGTTAGCACGGACGAGTCCACTGGCTCTGCAGGCAGGAAGCATCCGCCTGTCTGCTGATGAAGATGTGCAAAGCCCCCAGGAACGGTTCGGCTTACCTGTGGGTCTGGGTGATCTTCCATGTCTGAATCACCATCTGAAGAGCTTTCGAAATACCTCAGTAAAAGGAGGAGAAGAAACGTTTTAGAAGCCTTTCTCTCACATCCTGAAAAATTCACTACCTAAAACAAGAAAATTCTGTATAATGACGGAGAATACTGTGGTGGTTAAGAGGGCACGCTTCGGAATCAGAAAAATCTGGATTCAAAATCCAGCTTTCCCAGTCACTACCTCCTCCTCATGTCTCAGAGCCGCAGCCTCCTTATCTGCAAAGTGGAGACGATAATGTGTAACTCACTGAATTATTAGATTACATGAAAGCTTGCAAAGTCCTTAATACACAGAAAATGTTTCATAAATTAGAGTTTCCTGTAGCTGAGCAATAAAAAAAAGTGAAATGCTAATTCCCATCAGATCCAAGGGTCTCATTTAGGAACATCGGACAGTAGGGCGGAAACACTCCAGCAAGTGATAATGAAGCACTGAGCAAAACATTCTCAAGTGCAACACGACCACGCCCTGCAAACAAACCTAACCTTCCCAAGTACGTTCAGGAGGACAAACACCAGATATAAACCCTAATAACTGCAAACTGAGATGCATCAGTTCACTATAACCAAGAGTTGATATCTAATAACCTCAAGTAACTATAAAACTGTTACTTGAAATATATTGTTGTTTCTCTAGCGAATAATTAAAAAGGGGTTTCCTAAGTAAAAAGGTTGACATGAATGCTATGACCCTCTTTTATAATTAAGACATGAATTCTTTTTCTGTTCATTAAATTCAATTCATATCATTTGGGGCATTTCTTCTCAATGTAAATAAGGTGGATGACTCAACTCTTTGGGAACAAGTGTTTTTGCCCCACGATTCGTACCCGAGAAGTACAATTCATTACAGACTACAGAGATAAATGGAACACCAGGAAGGAACAAGGAAAAGTACAAGTAATTGACCAGTGTGCATGCTCCGTGACAGAGATCTGCAAGGCATCACCAGCACAAACCACACAGGAAAGGGCCGACAGATACGACCAAGTGACGACGCAGACCTTCTCTAACCAAAACACACTGCACACAAAGTGGGGCGAGCACCCTCAATACATACAAAAAGAGGTGCTATTTTATACAAAGACCTGACACCTAATAAGGAAAATTCAAATACTTCTCAAGTGAAAGACAAAACCCATAGGCAAGCAATTTGCAAAGCAAACATTAAACAGTAAAAGGAAAATCACCAGTTATTCAAAAATCACCAATAAAAACAGTATGATCAGGTTTTGCCTATGTAAGTGGCGAAGATGAAACAGCAGTGTGGCTGGGTCTGCGAGGGGCAGGGAAGGGCTCTCTCACACAGGGCTGGTGTGTGGCCGGGTCTGCGAGGGGCAGGGAAGGGCTCTCTCACACAGGGCTGGTGTGTGGCCGGGTCTGCGAGGGGCAGGGAAGGGCTCTCTCACACAGGGCTGGTGTGTGGCCGGGTCTGCGAGGGGCAGGGAAGGGCTCTCTCACACAGGGCTGGTGTGTGGCCGGGGGTGCCAGGTGCAGGGACGGGCTCTCTCACACAGGGCTGGTGTGTGGCCGGGTCTGCAAGGGGCAGGGAAGGGCTCTCTCACACAGGGCTGGTGTGTGGCCGGGGGTGCCAGGTGCAGGGACGGGCTCTCTCACACAGGGCTGGTGTGTGGCCGGGGCTGCGAGGGGCAGGGAAGGGCTCTCTCACACAGGGCTGGTGTGTGGCCGGGGCTGCGAGGGGCAGGGAAGGGCTCTCTCACACAGGGCTGGTGTGTGGCTGGGACTGCCAGGTGCAGGGAAGGGCTCTCTCACACAGGGTTGGTGGAGCACACACCAACGTGGCTGCCTCTGGAGGGCGGCTCCAAACGCACTCAAAAACATGAATCCCAGACCCCAGGGACAACAGCTCAAGATCTTAACATAAAAAACAAACTAATGTGTCCAAAGATGTATGCACAAATGGATTATTTATTATTACACATACAATCATGCAAAACTAGAAACAACCACATGTCCATGAATATGCAACTACTTAAAGTTACATAAATCAGAATGAAACAGCAGCAGCCATAAGGAATGAAAACAAGCTATCACTGCAGATCCTGCAGACACTAAGAGGAAAATGGACAAATTGATTTAAAAGTACAGTTTACCAACAACGACATTAAAAAAAAATAGGAAAAGCACAATATCTAACAAAATTAAATGTTAACAAAATTCTTTCCAAAAGGAAGGATCCAGGCCTAGATGAATTTTGGGTGAATTCTAAGAAACATTCAAGAAAGAAATAGCCCTGGCTGGCAATAGCTCAGTGGATTGAGCTTGGGCTGTGAACCAAGCATCGCAGGTTCGATTCCCCGTCAGGGCACATGCCTGGGTTGCAGGCCAGGTCCCCAGCAACCGCACATTGATGTGTGTGTGTCTCTCTCTTCCTCTCTCTCTCTCTCCACTCCCCCACTTTCCTCTCTCTAAAAAATAAATAAAATCTTTTTAAAGAACTAAAAATTTAAAAAAGAAAGAAGTAACAGTAACATTATGCAACCTTTCTTCATAAAATACAGATAACACTTTCCAATATATGAGGCCAGTGTTACCTCAAAACCTGACACAGACATTGCAAAAAGAAAAAAAAAGACCAAAATGAATGTAGACACAAACATCTATAGAAAAAGATTAGCAAATACAATTCAATAATAATAAAAAGGATAATATATCAGGACCAATTAGGGTTTATCCCAGGAAAGCAGCATGAGCTTAACACTTAAAAATCTATGTAATTTACCAAATTAATAGAAGGGAGAAAGCCAAAATAAAATCTTTCAATAACAGCATAAAAAGCATTTGACAAATATGATACTTATTCATGATTTAAAAACCTCAGCAAACTAAGAATATTAGGCAAGTTCGTTAATCTGGGAAAGGGGATGCAGGTATACAAAAACCGCAGCCAACCTCATGGTTACCGCGCAAGTCTCTCTAACAGTGAAGACTGACCACACACACCCCTGGTGTGATGGAAAATGGCACAAATTCTTCGGGAGAGTTCACCCGTTTCTTAGAAAGTTAAATACGCTGTGACCATATGACGCAGCGACCCCACACCTCGACAGTTACCAAAGGAAATGAAAACATTCTCTGCATAGGTCTTGGACACAAGCATTCACAGCAGCTTTCTTTGGAATGGCCAAAAAAGTGGAAACAACCCAACTGTCCATCGATGGAAAAATGGATTAAAAAATCATGGCATAGCCACACATACTCAGCAATAAAAAGCAATAAACTGTTGACAACACAGCACTGACAAATTTCAAAATCATTATGCTAAGTGAAACACTTCATATTTTAAAAGCACATATTGTATGTTGCCATCCATATAGACTTCTAGAAAAATGCAAACCAACTACCTAGTGGCAGAAAGCTAATCAATGGCTGTCTGGGAAGCGGGCAGAGGGAGAAATGCATCTCGAAGACACAAAAAAAACTTGTGGGGTTGATGGAAATGTTCCGTATCTTGCTTATGGTGATGGTTTAATCAGTATATACATACGTCAAAACTCAACAAGCTGAATAGTTATACTGCAATAAACTCATTAAAAACACAGTATTATTTCTTAAAATTAATTGACACCTTTTTAGGTATCTGGCTTTGTATTAGGGCAGAGAAAAACAAAGATGATGAGACAGTTCTGTTGGTGATGCAAACAAGTAAACAAGGAATCTCAAAACCACATAATACGATGAATGTTATCATAAATATTTTAAGTGAGTTAAGTAAATACTAAGAGTCTAAGAAGGCCCGACAGAGGTAATAACAGCATTTTGAAAGCTGACTCTTGAATGCTGAGTGGGAGTTTGTGGCAGAGAAGTGAACATTCCAGCTACAGAAAGCTGCACAATGAAAGAGTTTGACTTCTTTGCGGAAGAGTGAGCGCTCCGTGTGTCTGAGGGTAAGGACTGGAGAGGTCAGGCAGTGCTGTGCAGCGCCATGTCAGCGATGAGGAGCCACTGAAAGTCTTACAAGTACGAGTGTAACGTGACCAAATTCGTGTGTCAGGAAAAAACCCTCCCTTTTGGGATCCTTACTCATTATCCTCTTCGCCTTGTCTTGCTCTTTTTGCCAGGTGTTCATCTTCTAATTCTTTCAGATCCTTATGCTCCTTTTCACTGCTAATGATGCTGAACACTGAAACAAACAGAAAAAATGCCGTGAGCTACAACCATTCCTTCTATGGCTGTGTTAATGATTTGGCTCTAACACTAATGGACTCACCTCTTTCCACCTGAATCCGAAAGGCATTTCTTTTCCTTCGACCATAGTCTAAACTGGAGAATGTAACAGAAGTTTAGTACAGTACAGTGGTCCTCCCCACACAGGTTTGCACAAATACATAACTGTATCACTGCATGTACACTGACCATAAACCTGTTTTTGAACAACGCTGGAGTTTACACTTTACTACTCTCGTTTTTCCTGATTAGAAGTGGGTTTACGGCATCAGAAACACAGCCAGCTTTTACTGAAGGGGACAGAGATGAGATGGACTGAAGGCTCTTGGACTCCTGGGATTCGACAGAACAGGCCAAGAGAGCTATTCAGCTCTGAACATCATTCTCCTTAAAGAAAAAGGAAGCCTCCCAGGGAGGCTCAGAGGTTAGCAGAGCTGCCACGGTCACCAGGGGCCCGGGAAGCACAGGCCTGCACAGTGGCACTGTCCCCGCCTCTGCTGCAAAGGGCACGCCGCCATCCTAGTGAGCCTATAGGACAGAGAGCTGAGCCAGATGGTTATTCTTCAAGTCCAGGGAATTCGCCCTGCTATGTCTCCAACTGCCTGAGACCATGACCCCTTTCTCCTTCCCAAGTTCTCCCTCTGGAATGAGAATGTCTACCCTGTGTCTGTCCACTATTGTATCTCGTAGCAGATAATGGGTCTGGTTTTCCAGGTCACAGCTGGGGAGGAATTCTGCCTCAGGATGACTCACAGCTCCAGCCACACCCACACCTGAGTTGGATGAGATTTTGGAGTTAGAGTTGAGACTGAAATGGGTTAAGACTGCTGAGGCTGCTGTTCATTTGCTTGTAAGCTAGAGGGACATTAATTTGGGGAGGCAAGAGGGCAAAGCATTAAGAACTGAGCTGTATCCCTCCAAAATTCCTATGTTGAAGGTCTAACTCCGAGGACCTCAGAATGTGACTGTATCTGGAAACAACACCTTCAAAGATGTAACTAAGGTAAAATGATGTCATGTGGGTGGGCCCCAATCCCACAGGACTAGTGTCTTCATCAGAAGGGAGATCAGGGTACAGACAGCGGACACAGAGGAAAGACCGTGTGAAGTCACAGGGAGAAAACGGCTGCAAACCAGGGAGACACCTCCAAAGAAACCCATCCTGCCGATGCCTTGTTCTGGGACTTGCAGCCTCCACAACTGTGAGAAACTAAATTTCTGTTGTTTAAGCAACCCAACCTCGGATACTTTTTTAGATAGCCCCAGCAAAGTAATATGTAGACAAAGAAAAAAAAATAGAAACACAGAAATAGACAAAGGGATATTTAATGGAGCAAGGTGTCAGAAGCTGTGGCATTAGAAGCACAAGAGAAGGATTTACTCTCCAGTGGGAAGATTACATAAGTGACACATTTCTATAAGAAGACTCAGGAAGCTGAGGGAGATCATGTCCGACGGTTTTGATTTTTTTTTTAAGATTTTATTTATGTTTAGAGAGGGAAGGGAGGGAGAAAGAGAGAGAGAAACATCAATGTGTGGTTGCTGGGGGCCGTAGCCTGCAACCCAGGCATGTGCCCTGACTGGGAATCGAACCCGCGATGCTTTGGTTCGCAGCCCGCGCTCAATCCACTGAGCTATGCCAGCCAGGGCCAGTTTTGATTTTTAATAAAGCAGGCAAAGAACATCCCTGAGCAGGCTGTAAGGTACTGGAAGAAGAGACGTAGCCACTCCCCTTAGTCACAAGGACAGCCCCTTGTCTGTAACAGGTGCTTGATAAATGTTTGCACAATTAAACTGAATTCTGAACTGATGGACTGGCGAACTAAAGCAAGCAGCTATTAACATCAATTGGAAATTTAGGCAGAATGGAAACCTAAAAAACGGCAGGAAAGAAAAGCAAGAATCTGCAGACTACATTTCTTTACCTGTACATTCTCTGTAGATCAGATGCTAAGACTCCAGTGTCCACATATTTGCCACATCTGTTACTGGTGAGGTACTAAAACAGAACGTACAACAAATATGAACCCTCGGTATTTCAAACTCAGAGATTTTAACTGACGAATTGAGAGACTGAGCTACTCGAACATATTATACTTTAATGTAAACTCTTCATTAATAAAGCACGCCAGGAACATAACTGAAAATCACTGAAGGACAGTCACATCTGGAATCCGAGAATTTAACTAAAAGGATCACTATGACACACAAACCCAGAAACTAGGAAAACTACAAGGCAGCCCGTGAGAACTTACTGCATTCTAGATTCCCAACGCCCTGGAACTAAGCACTTCACCTGCAAGGGCACCGAGGGGTAGTTCAGATATGAAGGGACACAGTAATATGTGACACCTGCCCACCTCTGCAGGAACCACAGCCCGGGACAATGTGTGGCTTCAATAGTAAAGCACCTTTTGGTGATGTCCTATCTTTGCAAAACTGGGCTTCCGGCAAATCCCATGCAACACTCAACGTGGAACAGGATGGGAGTGGCAGTGACAAGGTGAGAGCGAGGTTGGAGAAGTGGTCCCACAGGCACATAACTCCCACTCGTCAGTAATGCGGTTATGGAAGAATAAAACACACATATACTCGTTTCCTTTCAATTTTTACATATTATGTTCTCAAAAAGCTACTACGTTATTTGAGTTATTAAGTTGCTGAAACCTAACTACTTAATAAACAGACCTATTAGTTATGGAGCACCATGAAAATATTAACGAGAAACTAAGAGCCCAGTGAACCTGTCTGAGGGGGCCTTTGGCACATTATCTCTCTACCACTCACAGCCCTATGGGGTGGATGTAGTATCCCCCACTCTGGAGAGGAAGACATTTAAGTGAGGCTGTAAAATGTTAATTACTTGCTTGGAAGCACAGAAGCTGGAGGGCCAGATTTCAGACCTGGAATATATAACTCCCATGTTTCGATATTTGGTAGTTATCGAGTCCAGGTGCCCCATTTGACAGAGCAATTTCTTCCCAAGAATCCTCAACACGCCCTGACCGGTGTGGCCAGTGTGGCTCCATTGGTTGGGCACTGACCACAAAGCAAAATGTCACCAGTTCGATCCTGATCAGGGCACATGACTGGGTTGCAGGTTTGGTCCTGGTCAGGGCTCGTGTGGGTATGAGAGGCAGCACATCGATGTCTCTCTCTCACACTGATGTTTCTCTCCCTTCCCCTAAAAACTCCCTTACATATGATATCGCTGTTCATACATGCTTCTGCTCACGAGACTAGGCAGCAAATGCTGGACTGTTCTAGTTAACCTTCCCCGTCACTGGACTCCTGTTATATGCTGTCATTTACTATAATCAATTTTGAGTTATACTTATTTCTATCTATCTCAACCTACTGCAATTCAAAAAGTTCCTTGATGGCAAGAGAAATAATATGCTAAATTTTAGGGTAATCTGTAGGCAGCAATAGATAGACTAAAGCTTACTGGTAAATGAAAAAAGCAAGCAGCAGAATTGATGTAAGTAACTCTGTGTTTTTTTAAATTAATACATAATATATATGTGGGTGCATATATGCACATAAAGTTTTAAGAAAGATGCAGCCCTCACTGATGTGGCTAAATGGATTGAGCATCGGTCTGTGAACCAAAGGCCGCTGGTTGAATTCCCAGTCAGGGCACACGCCTGGGCTGTGGGCCTGGTTCCCCAGTGGGGGACGCGCAAGAGGCAACCACACATTGATATTTCTCTCCCTCCCTTTCCTTCTCTCTAAAAGTAAATAAATAAAATCTAAAGAAAAAAGTGGTAAAAGCACAGCGGCTCAGGTCACTTCCAACACTTACAGACCAGTGTGCAGCTCCAAACAGGAGATCGCATAGCGGCCGGCAAGGGAAAAGAAAAGTGTGGCAAAGTATACAGCTCGCACACTCCAATATAAAGAAAAATCTCTCCCTTCTAAATAAGACTGTTTGCTGACTGTACCATTCCAGGCCATTTACCAACACTGCTTTCACACTGCTTTCTACCCATGATTATGAAAATGAAAACAAAACAAAACAAAACGAAACAATTCACACCACCTATTTCTACTGTAACCCAAACTGATCCCAAGTTTCTTGAGAACAGAAATGCTTTAAGGTCCCCAAAGCGCCTGGTACAGGGGTGGAGGGTGTGTGTCCGCAGAACGTTTCTCTCCTGTGGACACGAGACAGGGGCACTGGCACTCAAAGGCTGTCTCCACTGTCCTCACTGATCTGCGCCGAGGTCCAGCGGACCAGGGGGCTGCACGCTAACCCTGTCCCGGGCGGTTTCTGGAAACTACGCCCGGCAGCGGGGAGGGAAGGCCCCGCACGCCCGGAGCCCGGAGGATGGAACTGTCAGCAGCCCCACGCCGGAACCCGAGCGGGGCGGGAGCCGCCCTGGAACGGCGCCTCGGGGCAGCGGACGGGGACCACCGGGAGGCGCGGTGCTGCCCAGCACGCACCTGGATGACTCGCTGCTTCAGCTTGTTGTCCACGAAACTCGCGGGTCTGGGTTTCATCACGGCTGCTACCGCTGCCGCAGCCTGGCCGCCGCGCGTCACGTGACCCGGGGGCCTCCTCCAAGGCTGCCCGCGTTGGCCGCCGGGCCAGCCGTCCCCGAAGGGCGGCCCGCGCGCCCGGGTCCACGCCGTTCCCGCGGCGCCTTTGTACCGCGTGTGAGGGGGACAAGCTACCGAGAACAGAGAGCAGGCTTGAGAAAACATCACGGGGTTTCTAGGAGTCTTATTTTGCAGGCTAGTTCAAGAAGCCCGGGATGACAAGGACCCATTTGAACAAGCTCAACTTTATTGTTTCTAACTGGGCGAACACGTGCGAGCGCCCGCGGCCGGTAGGTTCTGGCTGGGCTCTGAATCTTAAAGCCAAAAGTTGTAGGTACTTGGGGGGATTTAAAAAGCGTAAAAAGCACACCGTCACCCAGCTGCGTACTTTTCCGACCTAATAGCCACTTTCTGGAGGCCGACACAAAGGCTGGGTGTCGAAAGACAAGGAAAGACTGGTTCACCCAGAAAGCTAAACCATCTGTTACATTTGGAAATCATTTATCTTATGCCATTTCGACAGATAATGTATTGAGCACATACAATGCAAGACTCCATCTTGGCAAATTAAAAAAAAATTTTTTTAAAGATTTTATTTACTTATTCTTTAGAGAGGGAAGGGAAGGAGAGAGAGAGAAACATCAATGTGCGGTTGCTGAGGACCATGGCCTGCAACCCAGGCATGTGCACTGACTGGGAATCGAACCTGCGACACTTTGGTTTGCAGCCCGCGCTCAATCCACTGAGCTACGCCAGCTAGGGCTATTTAAAAATTTTTTTAAACTGTATTTTTCTATTACCATTTATCCCCCACTATCCGGTTTCCTCCTCCCCCTCCCCGGCAATTATCACAGCCCCGAATTTTATTAAGCGTGTGTATTTGACCCCAAGAAGTTTAGTTTCAGTTAAGGAGACAAGTAAAGGGACAGTTATTTTTTTTAAAGCTACGGGCTTTGGTTTCTGTTTGCTTGCTTGTGTTTTTAATATTCTTATTTGAGGACTGACTTGGCTATCGCAATATTAGGTGCAGCCTAAGTAGTGTGCTGCGGTGAGGAGAGGTAGGAGAGGAGATGGACTTAGAAGGCGGTGAGATGTTAAACAGGTTACCACCGATTGTTTTCTGTTTGGAGTTCAAATTATGTCACTGTTCTTTTCAACAGTTCTCATCTGAACAATGAGTAAAGTATACAGTCTCACTGTGATACTCAACACATTGGTCAGCCTGGCTCTAACTTCATCTCCTACTTCTTCACCACATATTTACTCTGCTTTGCACCAAGTGGAATAGCATTGCCTGCAGTTACGCAATGTGTACTCGTATTTATTTCACAGGCACTGGAGAAATAAATACAGCTCTGCAGAAACAGGAAAGGTTCCTGCTTCTGTGGAGCTTACAGTTGACAGGTGATGATTATAAACAAATAAATTATACAGAGCACTCTGCTTCCATGGACATTTCCTCTTGTCTGCAATGCCATTCCTGGCCAGCCTACGATTTTCAGAATCCTAGCTAACGATCTCCCTTTCAGCGCTTCCTGGTATTTCCCTTCTCCACCCATTGAACCTCTCTTATTCATTTAGCACTGTATTTATCGAGTGCCTACGCCCTTCTGTCCCTGCCCTAACCCCTGGGTCTTGTGAGAAAAGCAAAAGAATTTTAATTGTAGCCCTGGCTGGGTAGCTCCTTTGGTTAGAGCATCATCCCAACACCCCAAGGTTGCGGGTTGGATCAGGGCACATACAAGAAGCAAGCAATGAATGCATAAATAAGTGGAACAACGAATCGATGTTTCTCTCCCTTCTGTTCACTCTCCAAAATAAAAAAAATTTTTTAAAAAGATTTATAATTGTAACTTTTATACTATTTTTTATTAGATTAAGTATGTGCTTGAATATATTAAATGTTAGCAACGATTCCCTACGGCAAGTAACACAAATACATTCAATGCCCAGTAACTTTAAATGTAATGTAACTCCATGCATGTGCCACAAAGAATGAAAATAGGCTGGAGGGCCCAGCAGCATCACAACGTACATGGAGCAGCATAATTTATCAGTTTATATTTTGTCATAGAATACTGTCACACATTTAGGGTTGTCTTCATGGCTGAGCAGTCTGCATTCACAGAAGGCTTTGTGCTCAGAAGGGCGCCACGCTTGGTTTCATGCTCTGCTGTCGCCATCTTGAAATTTTTAGTAGTGTTTCTTGAACAAGTCACCCCTTATTTTAATTTTGCACTGGGCCAAATACTGTGTTTCTCGCCTCTTGACTGCCTCCGGTGTACAGTAGGCAATAATTGAAAGTAAGTTAATACTAGATACCAGTACTGGTTTACCTGAACATTTTTCCACTGGAATTATTTCCAGTAATTTACAATAGCACACATCTAAACCAAAAAGATACTGAATAGTAACCGGAGTGCATATACATCTCAAGAACTTCGTGGAGCAATTCACTGTCCATTCTTTGATGGCGCAGCTCCACCTAGCGGTGGTGGTGCATTTCATCTTCCGTTCCTCACACCTTTGCACGCCATTCCCGCCTCCACACTTTGTAGCTCACTAGCAAACAGCCTCTTGTCTAATTGTGCTTTATATCTGGGGCTATGTGCTTATTTACTCAGAAAAGGCCTGATTTTTGCCCCTCGATCCAGCATAATTATTAATAGTCTCCCCTTTATGGAAATAAGTGAAAATCACCTAAATGAGAACAGGCAAAGACTCTTCAGAGCTTGTAGCCAGCCACCATGACTTGCATTTGGGCAGAGGCTCAAGGGCTGGGAGAGGAATGGGAAAGCGTTAGCCCTGAAGACAGGAAGGCTTCAGATACGCCCTGATTGAAGGCCTCCGGCATGGGGACGCTGTAGGTGGGCCAAGTGGAAGCAGGATTAGTGGAGCATATTTGGTTTTCTCTGGTTGGTCCTAAATTTGAGGAACAGAGACAAAAAAAAGTAGAGAAGTTCTGAGTTATTAAAGGGGTCCTGGCCATTTAGGGCCAATTGTTATAGGATTTATTGTTGGCTTCCTGATTTCTTCTTTTTTTTCTTTCTTTCTTTTTTTTTTTTTTTTTTTTAATCTCTTTGTTGGAGATAGTGGTCTGGCTTCCTGTAGGTCTGACTCACAGGTAGCAGGCTGGCTTTCTGGACTGGTTGGTGCAGATTGTAAAGCAGAATTCTGTTTTCATGTATGACCTGGCCATTGTTCATTTGCAGAGCCAGTTCCTCACCTTCGTCTCTAAGTCTCTATAAAAAGCGTTCCAAGCCCTGGCTGGTGTAGCTCAGTGGATTGAGTGCGGGCTGTGAACCAAAGTGTCCCAGGTTCGATTCCCAGCCAGGGTACATTCCTGGGTTGCAGGCCAGAACCCCCAGCAACCGCACATTGATGTTTCTCTCTCTCTCTCTCTCCCTCCCTTCCCTCTCTAAAAATAAATAAATAAAATCTTAAAAAAAAACAAAAAAAAAACTAATAAATCTGTTCCCTCTTTTGTAATCTAAGGTGTGGCTCACGAGGCATGGAACGAAGACAACGTGACGAATGCTCTGTTGGAGGTGTGCACAGGGTGCAGTGGGGGTGTAATGACAGCTGGTTTATAAATAATCTGTTAACAGTCCACCCAGCTTTAGCCTCTGAATCCTTTATGATTCCATAACCCTGTCTTGTGTCAGGCAAATCCAGTTGGTTTTGCCTCCATTCTAATTCTCTTATTTATCCTCTTCTCTCCTAATTGATCTTGCAGACAAACATGTCTCCTCTTCCTACATTCAGTGCACCAAACAGAAGGATATTTTAAAAATGTAAATCAGAACAAGATGCATTCATACTTAAAACTCTCCAGTGGTTTATCATCATATTATAATAAAAGTCACACTTTTTTATATTAAATATATTTCATTGATTATGCTATTACAGTTGTTCCATTTTCCTGCCTTTATTCCCCTCCGCCCTGCACACACCCTCCCACCCTCATTCCCCCCCTTTAGTTCATGTCCATGGGTCATACATATAAGTTCTTCAACTTCTACGTTTCCTACACTATTCTTACCCTCCCCCTGTCTATTTTCTACCTACTATTTATGTTACTTATTCTCTGTACCTTTTCCCCCTCTCTGCCCCTCCCACTCCCCCACTGATAACCCTCCATGTGATCTCTATTTCTGTGATTCTGTTCCTGCTCTAGTTGTTTGCATAGTTTGTTTTTGTTTCAGGTTCAGTTGTTAATAACTGTGAGTTTGTTGTCATTTTACTGTTCATATTTTTATCTTTTTCTTAGATAAGTCCCTTTAACATTTCATATAATGAGGGCTTGGCGATGATGAACTCCTTTAACTTGACCTTATCTGAGAAGCACTTTCTCTGCCCTTCCATTCTAAATGAAAGCTTTGCAGGATAGAGCAATCTGGGATGTAGGTCCTTGCCTTTCATGACTTGGAATACTTCTTTCCAGCCCCTTCTTGCCTGTAAGGTTTCTTCTGAGAAATCAGCTGACAGCCTTATGGGAACTGCTTTGTAGGTAACTCTCTCCTTTTCTCTTGCTGCTTTTAAGATTCTCTCCTTATCTTTAATCTTGGCTAATGTAATTGTGATGTGCTTTGGTGTGTTCTTCCTTGGGTCCAACTTTGGGACTCTTTGAGCTTCCTGGACTTCCTGAAGTCTATTTCCTTTGCCAGATTGGGGAAGTTTTCCTTCATTATTTGTTCAAATAAGTTTTCAATTTCTTGTTCTTCCTCTCTGCCTTCTAGCACCCCTATAATTTGGATGTTGGAACATTTAAAGTCCTGGAAGTTCCTAAGTCTCTCCTCATTTTTTTGAATTCTTATTTATTCATTCTTTTCTGGTTGAACATTTCTTTCTTCCTTCTGCTCCAAACCGTTGACTCAAATCCCAGTTTTCTTCCCATCACTCTTGGTTCCCTGTACATTTTCCTTTATTTCACTTAGCATAGCCTTCATTTTTTCATCTAATTTATGACCATATTCAACCAATTCTGTGAGCATCCTGATCACCAGTGCTTTGAACTGTGCATCTGATAGGTTGGCTATCTCTTCGTTGCTTAGTTGTATTTTTTTGGAGCTTTGAACCATTCTTTCATTTGGGCCTTTTTTTTTAAATCTCCTTGCGCCTGTTAGCGATGAGGGGTGGAGCCTTAGGTGTTCATCAGGGCGGGGCAATCCGCGGTGCTGCGCTGTGACGTTATATGTGGGGGAGGGGCCTGAGGGGGAACAATGGCGCTTGCTCCGCTCTCTGCCGGACTTCAGTCACTTCCCCCGCTTCCCACAAGCTAAGTGGGCCCTTCTGGCTCTGATTCCCCGGTGGGTGGTCTGTGTATGTTCTAGGACCCTGTGGGTCTCTCCAACGGACTGTCCTGTGAGACTGGGAGTCTCTCCTGCTGCCGCCACAACCCCCACAGGTGTTTTCAGTCAGAGGTTTGAGGCTTTATTTCCCCCGCATTGGGACCCGGTGTTGCCGTTCTGGACCCGGAGTTGTGTGTCTGTCTCGCTCGCTCCCCAGATGTTCCTCCCGGTTTATCTGCCTGGGAATGTGGGACCACCTGCCTCGCCCTCCTCTGCAGCCCCGCCCCCCGCCCCCTGTCCGCCAGCCTCCGCCTTGCTGAGAGTCCTCTCCACCCGGCTGCCCGTCTCCGCCCCTCCTGCCGGTCTGGGTGCCTGTTTCTCCTTCAACTCCTTGGCTGAAGAAGAAAGTTCGATTTTCTGTCAGTTCTGGTTGGTTTTTTTTTTTTGTCTTTAAACCGTTGTTGTCCTTCTTTCAGTTGTGCAAGGAGGCACAACGCGTCTACCTACGCCTCCATCTTGGCCGGAAGTCTAAAAGTCACACTTCTTGCCAGGGGTCCACAAGCTTCAGGTGACCTTGTCCTGCCCACCTCTGACCTCCCAAAGTCCTCTAGCCCTCATCCATTGTGTTCTACTTTAGCCACAGCGGCCTTTTTCTTTGTTCGTTAATCGCAGCACATTTCTCTGAGCAGCTGGGCCTTTGCAACCGCTGTTCCTGCTCTCTGGAATCCTCTGCCAGCAAATCTTCAGGAGCTATTCAGATTTCCTCTTAAACGTCACTTCCAGCCTGGCTTTCTCCGATCACCCAGTCTCCAAGTGGTTTCCCACCCTTCCCCTATCCTTTCTGAAGTGCTGTTTTTAAAAAAAAAATTTTTAAATTTTATGTCTCCGTAGAGACGGTCAGAAATTGCCAGTGCTGACTATATATTTCAAGTTGTCACAGTGGGGTATCGGGAAAAGTTTTCAACTAGCAACAATCACACCTGGGATAAACTTCACTGGCTATGAATACTGCCATTGTGCAAAGCTGTGAAGTACTTGTAACCGTCCATCATTAGCAGCTTTTTTTTTTTTTTTTGGTGTGTCCCCCTCACTGTAATGTAAGCTATGAAAATGTAGGGACTTTTTCTCCCATATTCATCATGTATTCCAAAGGTCCAGGACCTGGTATATACCAGCTGCTCAGAAAATACTGGTTAATTGAATGTAGGACTTTAATATAATTTGTTCATTTAGCTTGTAATTCTTTGAAATAATGGTGGTTTTTTTTTTCTGTATTTAGTTGCTACTTTATTGCCGGTTCCACCCACCCAATGTCAGCACCATTTTTTTTTTTATTTTAATTTCTGAGTAAACCTAATACTCCCAATGAGAGAGCACCATTTTGGCTGCCTTGTTCATTTCTGCATTTCTGGAGTGTATAGAAGTTCTTGGCATACAGTGGGCGGGGGAGGAGGGGAGCCAGTAAATATTTGTTAAATGAATGAATGAGACAACGTATTCAATTTTCAAAGATACTAAAATCTAAAGTGGAGAGAAACGCCGCTGTAACAGTGAATAAGCAAGGGACGGTGAAATTTCCGGAGAAACCAAGGTCAGGAATGGCGAGTCTCAACCTTCACGCTGAGAGCGTTGAGGTGCCATTCGTGCTTTGAAATGAACACCTCTTACCATTCCCAAGCTGGGGGATCCAGTGGGTCCAGCGCAGAATCTAAAGGCAATTTCTTACATGGCAAAGAAATTCTACTGGGTATCCAGAAGATTACAAGCGTTCAGTAAATACTCATTAATTCCTTGTCACAGTTCCTTGAAATACACAGATTCATTGTAGAGGGAGGGCTTGCCCACCTCTTTGATGGGTGTTCGTGCGAATGACTACAGTTCCCAGCATGCACCAGAAGCAAGGCGGTTTTTTAAAAAGTGGACTACAATTCCCCGCATGCCGCGCTCCGGCGGAGTCGGCTACACGCCCCAGAAAAGGGGAGCCGAGGGCCTATCAGGGGCGCGGCGAGGCGGGGCGCGCAGGGGCATCCGAGCCGGTTTGACGGAAGGAGCGGCGGCGGCGGAGGAGGATGGAGGCGGTAGTGTTCGTCTTCTCGCTCCTCGACTGCTGCGCGCTCATCTTCCTCTCAGTGTACTTCGTATCCTTGCCGGAGCGGGCGGGGGCCTCCCAGCGGCCCGCCGCCAGGGGCCGGGGCTGAGGTTGGGCCCGGGTGGAGACCCGGGCAGGTGCGTGGGAGCGAGGGCGCGGCGGGCGCGGGTCACTGGGCGTGGGCCGCCGGGACTGGTGAGACGAGCCGGGGCGGGAAGAGAGCCCGCTGCCCTCCTCTGCCCCGCTCGCCCCGCCCAGCGTGCCGGCCAGGGTCCGAGTGGGCCTCCCCGTGGAGCCCCGGCCGGGCCTGCCCGCCGCCCGGTCGCGCCCTGAGCGGGGCAGCTTCTTGGCCTTTCCTGCCAGGTCTTCAGAGAAGACTCGCAGTTGGCCTCCCTGTGGGCCCTCGAGACGGGGTCGAGGTCGTGGTTTTTCATGGAGATGGCTTGGGCCGGGCCTTTGGACGGATGCGGGGTGCCGGGGAGCGACCGCCCACGTCCTGGGGGTGCTGGCTGCTGGACCCCGGAGCCAAGGCGTTTTGCCGCCCCTCGTCGTCACTCCCGGGGCACCACCCCCGCCTCCCGCCCCTTTGTTCTCGCCGGTGTTGGAACTTGTAGGGGGCCCTTTCCTGTCTGCGAGTTGACTCTTTTCGAAAAACGGGTGGAATACCACCTTCACGATGCCGTTCTGATGCCGTTCTGCAGGGCGTGTTGGGAAGGGTGTATTTTTAAGAAACATCTACCTTTAATTATTTTGGTTGTCCCTGGTGGTTGAAGTCTGGGAATTTAGTTAACTATACACGTGAGACAGTTCCCAGGCGTTTATCAACTTTTACACTCTTCTGGACGCATCCAAGTTTCAAACTTCAGTATTTTATGTAGCTCTTCATGTGACAGCATTTCAACTGTATTTCCAGGCCAACAGCGGCGGTCGTTGAACCTAGCACCCTCGAGGCTGTGTGGGCTCCAGCCCTTCCCTACTGTTGAGGAAGCATGTCATCCTAGTTGTGGGCCAATTCTGTACATAATTCAGTATAAGCTAGGGGGAGAAAAAGCATGCATGAGAAACTCCGCACTTTTTCTTCCCTTCTTGGAAATCACACGTGCCCCTTACTGAGAGAATTAAACGTTTTGTCCACCCGAGTACCCTGGCTTTAGCATAGTTTGTTCACTGTGGCTTCCTACTTGATTAAGCACAGGCAGCCGGTTGTAGTGGGAGACAGAATTTGAAATCGGGGCTCCTTGCTTAGCTAGATGCTTGCTGTGCACATTCCTTCGCCTCTCTAAGCTGTGGTTTCCTCCTCCATAAAATGTGGGAAGTGCTCACTTCCCAGATGTGCGTGTTCAGTGAGAACAGGCGCTGAGCACCTAGGACGGTGCCTGTCTCCCGGCCAGTATTCAGTAGACATTGCTCTGCCCTCCTCTCCCCCAGTGGAGCTGCAGCTTTCACGTTAACTGATGTTAGTTTTATGAGGTTCGGGGAACTGATCGGAGGGCAGCATCTGCCCACGTTCCTATGACCTATGCCCCTCTTGTGATATAAGGAAGTGGAGGTGCACTCAGAGAAATGAAACTTGGGTTTTTCTTTTTGCACTTCGGAAAGTTCGGCTTAATATTTCACTTTTTGAAGATTTTATTTATTTTTAGAGAGAGGGGAAGGGAGGTGGGAAGGGAGGGAGAAAGGGAGCGAAACATCAGTGTGTGGTTGCCTCTTGCGTGCCCCCTGCTGGGGATCTGGCCTGCAACCCAGGCATGTGCCTTGATTGGGAATCGAACCAGCGACCCTTTGGTTTGCAGGCCAGTGCTCAGTCCACTGAGCCATAGCAGCCAGGGCTGGGCTTGATATTTTAAAATAGTCTTGACTTACAGGAATTTAATATATATACATAGAAAAACATTAGGTGGAAATTTGACTTAGACATTAAAGTGTATTCAGGGTGTGTTTTGATGAAATTCAGCATATTGTATCACTGTATTTTCGGATAGTTGCACTAGCTTCATGTTAGAGCCAAGAGGTGGAAAATGGTCAGGGTAGACATCCCTTAGCGATAGGAGCTTTCCTGGACTTTGGCCCCAAAGAAAACCTGCAGAGAAGGAAAGGGGTGACTATTAACTCAACATTATCTCACACAGGCAGGAGCAAAGGTATGCCCGAGACATTTCTGGGGAGTGGGGTTAAGGAGCACATGGCACATGTGGTTGCTTTTGGTGGCAGTGTTGTACAGGAGAAGCTCAGATGGGAAAGGTTGGGTCAGATCCCATTTTGGAGGGCCTGAATGCTGAGGAGGCATGGAGGGCTTCTTTTATCCTCTAGGTCACGGGTCTCCCAACACAAAATCGTAAATTTACTGACAACATTATGAGATTTTGTGTGTGTGTAATTAACGTGTTGCAGTGTATTTAATGTGTTGCCCAAGACAACTGTTCTTCCAGTGCGGCCCAGGGATGCTGAAAGGTCGGACACCCCTGGACAGAAAGATGCTCCAAGTGACTGAGCCTCCCGGCCAGGGCTTGTCCTTTTTCATCCCCCCCCCCCCCCCCCGCTGTTGGGGGAGGTGGCAGAGCATCTTACAGTCAATCCCAGGCCTTGTCCTTCCTTCGTTTTTTGTCTATCCTTCAGATTTTTATTTGTGAGTTTATATTTTGTACTGAAAACCATTTTTTTTTTTTTTGCTTAATTCCAATGTAAAGTGTTTATTGTAGGACATTTGGGAAATGGAGAAATGGAAAAGTCTTATTTTTGCATTTCTTAGAGCCAGTGTCTGGCATTTGAGAAATTCAGATGGAACGGTCTGGCATGGGCCACATTAGAATTGAGCATAATGAGAGGGTTATTCTGTGAAAGTCGCTTGCTGGCGGAACATGAATGAGAAATTGTGTTGTCTAATGAGTGAGCTTTAAGGAAATAACTAAATTTTTTAAAAGTCAAGTCTAATTCAGCTTTGCAACTGGTATTGCTTTCTGAAAATGACTTAACTGTTATAAAAGAAGTCTAATCATTCCTTATCTTGATCATCAGATAATTACATTGTCTGATTTAGAATGTGATTACATTAATGCTAGATCATGTTGCTCGAAATTAAACAAGGTAAGCCATTTCTTTGCTCATTTTCTGGCATTGAAGGCAGTTCTCCATTTTCTGTGTTAGAGATTATTATAGGTAATCAACCTGTGTATATTCGATTTTAGAGTGTATATTGTCTCTTACTGGAGTGTCGATAGAACTGTGTGTTTTGCAATGTTTTAAGTCAGAAACTGCACTAGAAGACTTAACTTGGAACTTGGTTTCTTCACCCTGTTTCTTCCTTGCCCCTTTGACCACAATGGACAACATTACTACTCAGACTAGGTAAAGGTTTCTCATGAGGGCAATTGTTTTTGTCTTCTATGTCCAAAACCCCCTCATCCCTGCTCCTGGAAAAAAAGCTGTCTTGTCTTTTATTGAATGAAAGACAGCCTTCGTTTTCTGACTTGCTGAGAAACGGAATTAATTAGTTGATTTGTTTTAGAGCCATTTTACCTTTGGTCTCTAGTCAGAACTTTGTATTGGCGAGGATATTCTGAATCGCAGAGCTTATCTAGCTGCAGAGAAACCAGTTGGTCCTGATTCACTTGTGACGAGCACACTGAAGAGCTTCCCTGATAACAGGTCTGGTGAAAGCGCACTGCCGCGAGGGGCGCGCGGCCTGACCTGGAAGCGATTCCCCTGTGTCTCTTCCCGTTTCCAGTCTGCTTAAGTTTCTCTGGCCCAGGGGGGAAATAAAGATACACTTGGAAAGTTAAAATTCCTAGTAAACTATGTTCCTTCCTCTTTCTTTCTTTTCTTTTCTTTCTGTCGAATTTTCCTGAACATGGTTTAATACAGCGATAGATTTACGTAAAAGATTATGTGTTCCTGTGCTGTGCTTTGAGGATTCTTTTATTTATTTATTTATTTTTTAAAATATTGTGCTATTTTTATTTTTATTTATTTTTTTAGATTTTATTTATTTATTTTTAGAGAGGGAAGGGAGGGAGAAAGAGAGAGAGAGAGAAACATCAATGTGCGGTTGCCGGGGGCCGTGGCCTGCAACCCAGCCATGTGCCTTGACTGGGAATCGAACCTGTGACATTTTGGTTTGCAGCCCGCGCTCAATCCACTGAGCTATGCCAGCCAGGGCTAGGATTCTTTAAAAAAAATTTTGAAATGTAATTATATATAACATTAAATTAGTTCCAGACCATCTTATCTTTAAAAAAATGACCTTATATAAACAGATGGAGTGTGTGTCTTTTTATATTTACTGCTTTCTCAATATTTTAGATGGGTATTTGTTGGTTTTGTTTTATAAAAATAAAAATCTAAATATAAAGAAAAGCTTATTTTCTACTGAGAAAATCACCCCTTCGACCTGAAGTTAAGCAGTTTTTCACATGTTCGTGTTTATAGTAACTTTTCCTGGACTGCGTACTGATACATAGGACAGTGCACAGGTTCCACCGCAGGGGCGTTTGACTTCGCTGCTCACATTCAATGTTAAATCGGTCGTGTTTTAAAAATGCACATAACATATTAAAAAGTTCAGTTGGTTGCAAATTAGGTTTAAGGCCCAGAAAAACCCCCTCTTTGTTTGTAAAAAAAAAAGCACCTAAAATTTAAATGCAAGAGACTCGGGGCCAGATGGCTGGGCTTACACTAGATTGCTGTGCCGCTAAGTGGCTGGGCAAGTTGCTTAATCTCCCTGATTTTTATTTTCCTCAGTTGTGCAGGTGGGGCATGCCAGTTTTTGGCTCCATATATATTAAACTATTAACTTATATTAAAAGAAAAATATTTATTCCTGGGGAAAGAAGACCATCGATGAATTGAGAACCTGCCGCAGTAACTGTTGATTCGTGGGAACGAGAGTATTGCCCAATGAGTGAAGAGCACAGACTAGGGCATTGGGTGCTGTAAAGCCAGTAGGCTGGGACTTGGGTGTCCTAGTTCATTAGCGTGTTTGTCCAACAACTGTGGGCTGCTACTGTTAAAGTACAATTTTCTGTGTGTGTGTGTGAATGAGTGAATGTGAAATGACTTCCCTCAGGGTTCTGGAAATTGAAAAATGTGGACAGACCATCCCAAATCAGAGTAAGGGTTTAGTGTGGATGTTGGACTAGAAAGTCAATACTGCTCTGTTTCCCCCCGACTTGTCATTCATGCCTGCTTACTGGGTGCATTGGGACCTTTGCTTAGGGTAAAACAAAACGGAAGTTTAAGTGTATTATTTTTAATCTGTGCCCTGATGTACCTGCATGGGGTAAGCCATTACAGCAGTATGCAAATCTGGGACATCGGAGTCTAAAAATATCCTGAAACAGTAGCTAGGAAGTTCCCCGGACCTTTATTGATTTAGCTTCGAATGCCGTGCACATCCGCGACAAGCGTGGCCATGAGGTGTGACGGTGCTCTGTCCTCCCCTCGCAGTGGGTGATCCCGGAGCTGATCGGCCACAGCGCTGTCACCGTGCTGATGCTCGTTTCCCTGCACTGGTTCATCTTCCTCCTCAACCTGCCTGTGGCCACTTGGAATATCTATCGGTGAGTACGGTTTGTCTGCTGCTTCGTGTCAGGGCAGTGTAAAGAAAAAAAACATTTTTATTTTAATAGCTTTCTCTTTGCCAGTAAAATATGTGCCAATCATAAAATAAATGATAGCCGAATGCTTCCTTAAATCAGCATAAATTTCTGTTCACTTTGGTGTCCTGGGCAAGTAGCAATATGTACTGTTTAGTTGTGATGTCTAAAGACTTGTGAATTTTTTGATTGTCTTAAATATCTTTTTTTTTTCAGTTTTAAGATTTTATTTATTTTTAGAGAGGGAAGGGAGAGAGAGAGAGAGAGAGAGAGAGACACACACACACACATCAATGTGTGGTTGCTGGGGGTCATGGCCTGCAACCCAGGCATGTGCCCTGACTGGGAATTGAACATAAAATGCCTGGTTCGCAGCCTGCGCTCAATCCACCAAGCCATGCCAGCCAGGGCAAATATCTTTTTAAGAATGCTTAAAAGCCTGAGACTATAAGGTCCTTGTTATTTATAGCTGCAGTTTTTCATTAGAGTATATTTAGAAGGTTCCAAAGAAAATTTAATTTTAAAGCCTACAAATTAGATAATATCAAATTTTGTCTTAATAAATTTAGAATGTTTGTTCAAACAGTTCAGTTGAAATACTAATTAGATACAATTTTAGCTGGACTATTGTAAACTGCATATTTTCTGGTGAAGAACTGTGGAATAATCTTGGCAGTTTGGGATTATTTTTATGTTAGTACATTGCTGCCTTACTAAATTTCTAGGTTTTATTTTAGTTTATATTTAGTTTTTTGGGTGGCTAAGCTCATTGGCTGATTTTTGTAAAAGTGTGACTGGAATAAGAAGGACATACTCTGGTATTGTAATGACTACAGATGCCGCCAGGTGGGCACCGGAAACATCAGGGGGCCACTTTGTAAAGTGTATGGTTGTCTAACCACTGTGCTGTACGCCTGATGTAAACTGATGTAAAATAATGCTGAATGTAAACTGTAATTGAAAAAAAAATTTAAACTGAATAAGAAGGACAGAGAACGGAATAAAGGAGGGGTGGGGGAAGGAGGCAGGTGAGAAGGTAATGGAAGGTAGCAGAGATGAGGGGGTGAGTAGGCTGGGGCGACAGTCTTGTGAAGATCATGAGGCTGGAACCTGAGCTAGGGAAAAGCTTTACAATTTCTGTTCCTCTTTTCCAGAGGGCGGGTAGAGTTTGCTTTCTTTTAAGTGTCTTACTGCTCTCCTGTGATCATCCCAGAGACCAGCACCCTACCCGAGCTCAGCCCTGGAAGCCAGATTCCTTCACTTCTGGAGAGGGGTGACTCCACACAGGCTGGGCGCAGCCCAGTGTCCCCGTGGGCCCACTATGTGGGACACAGATTTGGGGGTGACTCTGGTGCGGTATGACTCCACACAGGCTGGGCGCAGCCCAGTGTCCCCGTGGGCCCACTGTGTGCGAAACAGGTTTGGGGGTGAGAGCGGGAACTTCTGAGACTCTGGACCCTGATGATGGCCAGAGCATGCCATCAGTCATCTCTGCGGGGAGGCAAGGGTACCCTGGGTACCGGGAGAAGAGCACTGTGGGCCTGACTCCTCTGTGTGCGCACACTGTGGTGAAAAGCTCTGTGCAGTCCCATCTGGGGGCAGTGGGGTCCACAAATTCTGTTTCCCGTGATGATAAAGACAAAGATCGTGCGTGTTTATTTCCCTCATAATGGCAGTGGCATATTGACTGTCTTCTGGTCACAAATTTACCTTCCATTTACAAAGGTTAAAAAAACGAACAGGTGGATCATTTCCCCCTTTCAGAGGTCTGTGCTTTATGCGATTGGGGGTGCAGACGTGTATGACATGGAGTCTTCCCACAGACAAAGAGACAAGACACTGAATAATAAGTAGGCCGGCGAAGTAAGAGGTGGGCTAAGGAGCGAAGACGGTTCCCAGGGCAGTGGCGAGGATACTCGGGCTGGGAGGGAAGTTGGCTTGCTGTGGACTGGGGCAGTTTCCGGGAGCCCGTGGCGTCCACTCAGAGCCCTCCCTGCAGGATGGATGGGCTCGACAGAGATGAGCGGGAAAAGGAGACCGCAGGGAGGGAAGGAGGAGGGAGGGGCGGAAGGGGGAGCTGGCACAAGCATGCGGGCACGTGTGAGGGCTGACTAGGTTGGAATCACGTAGGTGAGGGAGTGGTAATGGACGGATGTTCATTGCGGTGGGGCACAGAGAACCTTGAACTTTGGTCCAAGGAGCCTGCCCGTAAGCCCGAGTACTGGTAGCCTGAAGTCCGCACGTTGGAAGCCTGCTATTCACTGTAATGTTAGAGGGTGCGTGGACTTCAGCGGTCATCCCACAAGCCGTGTTCGAACATTTTCATCACCCTGAAAAGAAGCCCTGTACCCATGAGCAGGCATTCCCAGTTCCTCCCCCTGCCCAGCCCTAGGCAGTCCCCCATCTCCTTTCCGTCTCTGTGAAACGGCCTGTTCTGGGCAGACGTGTCGTACAGAAGAGATCGATATGTGGTCCCTTAGGACTGACTGGCTTCCTTCACTTAGCACAGTATTTTCCAGGCCCGGCCCTGCTCACGAGTGCCTCAGTCCTGTTCGTTGTTGAACGGCATTCCGTTGCTCGGGCACGCTGCAGTTTGTTTATCCGTTTGCAGTCGGTGGGCATTGGAGTTGTTTCTAGGTTTTCGCTGTTATGAGCAGTTCTTCTGTGAGCACTGATGTGCGTACATTTGTGGGGGCGTTTTTTCATTTCCCGTGTCTTCATCTTGCCCTTTTAAGGTCGGCGCCCTCAGTTCTTTCTCTGTGGATCCGAAGACGCTCCCAAGACGGGGTTTCTGTTCTGAACGCAGAACCTCCCTTTTTTCATCTGAAAAATTGGAATGCTTGTCTGACACTGCTCTTCCTCATAAAGATGTTGTGAAAGTGAAGGGAATTGCATTGACTTGGAACTTTTTAGATAAGATTCTAAGAGCTTGATCAAGTTGGTGTGGTTTCGGAGGCTCCTTCATTTGTGTCTAGTGGAAAATGCTGTAGGGATAGTTGGTTCAGTAGTGTTCTACAGAAGATGCGTAAGAGGGCTCGGTGCATAAAATACCCTTCTCTAGAGTGTTACTGTATTTGTTTCACGGGGAGAAAATTACACCAAACGTTAGCAGTGTGTCTCTTTCAAAGAAAAACTAAGTGGTGGCCTGTGACTTCATCATAATACCTTGTCCATAGTTGGTCTGAATTTAAAACTGCTGTGACTGGTTCACTTTTAAATGTTGGTTATTATTGGTTCCTTAGTTCTGAATATTTATGCTGATGATTGGTTTCTCTTTCTCATGTGTGTGTATCCTTTCATTTATCAGGTTCATAATGGTGCCAAGCGGTAACATGGGAGTGTTCGATCCGACAGAAATTCACAATCGGGGGCAGCTGAAGTCGCACATGAAAGAAGCCATGATCAAGCTTGGTTTCCACTTGCTCTGTTTCTTTATGTATCTTTATAGGTAAGTTTTCCGCCTCCTGGCACGTCCCTGGACCTCGTGCCTGCTTTGGATGGGTACGCTGCTACACTGTAGGATTTAGCATCAACATTGCAGAACTTCTGGGGGTTTTTGAATGTCTTGCAGTGTGTAGAGTTTTTATGTATGCCATTGAACCAGTTTTCTGTCTGACCTGCAGTAGCATGACTCTGTGGTATTAGTTATTTCTTAGCTTGGTTGTCACCATGCTTAAACCTGTCTTTGCTACTCTTTTTTTTCTCCTCGCCCTAGTATCCAGTAGTGAGGTCTCACTGTCTGTTGTAAGTACGAATTGACTGTATGTGGCCAAAGATGGTCCCACCCGTGGGACGCCAGCTCTCAGCAGCACACATCCAGGTTGGGCTTTTCTCCTTGGCAGTGAGGAACCCAGGTGCGATGCCTGTCCTCCAGCCCAACGGTGGTCAGTTCTGGAAACACCGCATCGGTCTTTAGGCCGTGAGAGACTGGAAGAAGGAGCTGATGTGAGGATTGGCTGTCAGACACCGGAAGCCTTATGCAGTCCTGTTGTAAACTTAGATTCATCACCTTCTGTTTTAGAGATAAACATGCCACTTTTTTTAAACTTATCATAGATCCATAGTTAAAGCAAAGAAAAATTGTTGTGTGTATGTGACTTGGTTAAATCTGTGATGCTAGATGTCAGGCTCAACCTTTGTGTGCAAGCTTAGTTATGGAATAGACCATTTCTGGCTTTTCACAGGTAAATTTAAATTTTTCACACAGGCATAAGCACTACGAGGAAGAAGTTTTACTAACAAAATGTCCATCACTCAGGAGCAGGGTGTCCGACCCCGCTGTCCGCGGGCCGCATGCGGCCCAGGATGGCCGTGAACGCGGCCCAACACAAAATCGTAGATTTACTTAAAACCTTTCTTTGCTCGTCAGTTTTCGTGAGTGTTTGTGTATTGAGTGTGTGGCCCAGAGACACCGAGAGGTCGGCCACCCCTGCCCGCCTCAGAGGACTCCCGATGACTAGAAACCGAATAGAGACGGCAAGTTAAGCTTGGTCTGAAGTGGTTCGGAAGGCAGCTGTCTGAGCGCTCTTGGGATAAGCAGGCTCCTAGAGTCGTTCTGTCGTGCCGATTCCCCCACCAGCTCATAGCGGGCTGAGGTTGGAGTTTAGTTTCCTTCTCGCTGTTTATCTTACTTGCTTTTCTGTATTTTAAAAACCAGGACAGACAAAGCATATTGGTATTAGTTTCTGGTTCTCATACCCTACCTCACTGCTAAAGTGATTAATTTTTAATTCTGGTATTAAAGACGAAGAATAAAGAGCAAAGAACGTTCATGTTAAGAACACGATGGCACACCTGTCCTCGGTTTTGTTACTTCTCAGAGTTAAACCCTGTGAAGGGGTCTTTGCCACCACACATTGCCCTTACGTTTGCTTCTGAGGAGACATAAAGCAGGCTGGAATCAGCTCAGCTCAGGGCGTTCTTTCTCCAGGCTCCCGCCCCTCCAGATTTCACCCCGTTGGAGCCGGGCCAGAGCGGCCAGTCCCTGGGCTTGACAGCAGGCGCTTCTTGAGACAGCTGTGGGTACAGCCACTGTGGTCCCACTTCTGGGAGCAGATACAGGGTCAGGGGGCTGTGTCCTGCTTAGGAGACCAGAAGTCTTAGCGTTTAAAGTGCACAAGAGTTTCTTAGCTCTTGGATGCTGAATTTGAAGCAATGGGATGGTGGGCTGAAGACGGGGGCCAGAGGAGTCGGGAATCAGGAGGCAGGCTTAAGGTGTGGTTCGTTACAGCTAATAAATGGCGGCTGCCTGTGTAAGGAGAGGGCTGGACGGAGTGGCTGCGTTCCTCCCCGGCTGCATCCTTGCTTTTCCTTCTCTCCCCTTCTGTCCCCCTTTCCTCCTGAGCTCGTCATTTTCAGCCACATTGCTGTTACCTCCCCCTTGGTGTCACTCATGACTCAAGGGATCAGGACGAAATAGCAGTTTCAGAAGATGTCCTGAGAACACTTTGCTCTTAGCTTTTAGTTGCTGTGGTTTAAAAAAGTGGTTTTATTTCCCAAACCACCCGATTTCCAATGCTCCCCTGTATCGCTGGCCACGGCTTGCTGGGTGCCTAGCGCACGGCATTTCATTCGGGTTTGTTAAGCAGAGTTAAAGGGGACACAGTGCCCCTCTCCTTTAGAGACTGAGAGAGTCCACTCCTTTGGTTTTGGTTAGGCGCTGGTCTGGGGAACCTGGGCTCTCCCACTTAACCACTCCCTGTGTGGCCTGGGGCAGGTTACTTAACCCCTCTGTGCCTCAGTCTCTTCCTCTGAAAATGTGATAGTAACAGTACCTACCTTATCCAACTGTGATGTGGACTAAATGAGATAAGCCCGTAAAGCACTTAGGTCTGTGCTGACGTGTAGTAAACTCTAGAAAAAAATTTCAAAACTATCCGTTTCTACCAGTAACCTGTGCTGTGCACTGAGCACACCTAGTCTGGTTGGATTTGGGCAGGAAATCTTTAGACAGCAGCTCACACCACTAGTGGCGTGAGGGTGTTTCTGTGTATTTTCATCATTTGGTCTCAGTGGAGCAAAGCTGACTACAGTAAAAGGAGATGACAGTTTTGTTACTGAGTGGCTTGTTTAGAATGTTTATTGTGGCCCTACTACGTGTCAGGCGCCATGGAAGGCACTGCAGGTGAGCAAAGGAGCAGCCCACACTGTCAGGGCTGGGAGCCAGATCACATGGTGGGGGGCCAGCCTGGCGTGTGAATGCGATGCCGCCCGGATCCTGCACCTGCTCGGAAGAGCTCCCGGCCCAGGGTAGAGATGGAAGCCAGGCCAGTGGGAAGAGGAGGAGCCACGGACGTGCCCATGCAGCTGCCCTGGGCCGAGGGGCGGCTTTCCGCAGGAGAGAGCCTGACTGTGCGGCCTCAGTGGGACTGTACTAGATTGAGGGGCAGGACAGGGATGGGGAGCAGGGGCTGCAGCATAGGGGCAGCGTGTGCAAAGATCTGGCTTGGAGAATTAGCTTTTCCCGTCCCCCAGACATAGCTTGTTTTTTTCCTAAACTGTAGCCCAATATTGGTTTTAGGTTGTATTCCCCATCCCTACCTCAACCACCTTTTCTTTTTTTTTTTTTTTTTAGTGAAAAACACAGGGCACTAGAGGCCCTAATACAGAGTTTCTTTCCTTCCTTTGGGTGTGAATGATTGTCTTTTACTCCAATGAGTGCTCCTTGCTGAGCCTTAGCGATACGAGTCTGGACGGCCCGGACTCGGGGACGCTCCCAAGGAGACACTGGTGACCTGAGTCTCTTCTCCCCACAGTATGATCTTGGCTCTGATCAACGACTGAAGCCGGGGCCGCCGCGGCTGGAGTCCGCCTGCACGACGGAGCGCAGCGAGGGGCCGCAGATGACTCGAGTCACCCTTAGGACCGCCACCATAGCAGTATATTTTTTCCTCTTCGAACAAAAAGTATTTTTGCTGTATTTTTACCATATAAAATATTCAAAAAACATGAATTGAATTTTGTAGATTTCTGGTTCTCAATGTTAGCCCGAGCCCCAGCCCGTGAAGGCGTTTGTCCTCTGTGTGTTGAAGACGGTCACGTGTGGGTGGGAACAGGACTGCCGTCCCAGCCTTGCTGGCCAGAGAGACACAGGACACGCTTCCAAGGGACACTGAGAGATCGGCAGAGCTGCTTGCCCCGGTGACCGCAGCGTCAGAGGGTCAGACAGCACTGTTCTTCTGGGCAGGGGAGGAAAGTAACGGCCCTCTGCTGCGTGGTGGCAGCCTCGTGCACTCAGTGTAACGTAAAGATTTCATGGGACTGTCAGCCAAAAGTCTTTTCATGAGAATGTTAATGGAAAATGACATCTCAAAAATTACATATTTCTTTACAGAATTTGTGAAACCTTATAAGCCATTTGCCGAGGTATAATGTCATTTCTGCTTACAGGAAGGAAAATAAACAAGAAAAATGGAATCAAGAGCTTTCATTTAAAAGCCACTGTGCCCCCACATCCACCCCCAAACCCGTACAGCCCCCTTGCTCTTGCCAGGTCTTGTGTCTGCACGCTGATTGAACCCATTGTTTTTGCTCTGATCTGCTTTTTAGTGGTTCGGAGAGGTGATTGGGTAGAAGATGCTCATCAGATTAGGAGCAGGAAGTAGGCATGGCCAGCCACTCCGCAACAGCCTCAGGCATTCGTGCCGGGTTACCTGTGTGCTGTCCAGCTGCACTGACCACTCAGAAGTGGGAGGCCCAGCACTCGCCGTAGACGTAGCAGTGTCCAGCCAGACTCGGTCCCCAGGAGCTGCGGGGGAGACTCTGGCAGCTGATGGGAGGAGCAGTCAGCCTCCTTGGCTCTGGTTGCTGGGTACAGTGAGCCTGGCAGTGTATTCTCAGTCCTCGTCTGTGATTTAATGTTGCTATCTGAAGTGCTGGCATTTAGGCAAAACATGATTGTGTTTAATGGCAGAGTCCAAAGGGATTATTCAGTGTGTCGAGGCAGAATTGGGTGTCTAAACAAGGCACATGGTTGCCAAAAGATCACGTGTTGCATGTTCTCTCGACCCTGGACTAGTCTAGCCTTGGCAGAAGCCAGGGCGCCAGCCAGCTTCCTGTGCCGACGGGCCCACGATTCAAGGGTGGACGCGTGTGCTCCGGGCCTTCTTGAAAGGAGCGGGGAACGGTGGGCGCCGTGAGCTCGGTTCCCTTGGCCGCTCGGGGTCTCAGAAATTGGTCCTTGTGGTTATCTTGTATTTCTGCCAGGGAAAGAGCCAAGAAGCTGTAACATAGGAGTTACTTTGCTTGCCTCTCTCTTAGTTACCTTTTCCTTCGGAGGCACTGTGGTTTTTTGTTTTTTTTTTTTAAAGAAAATAGTCTCTTCACTCTACATTTCTCCCTAACTTCCAGTGCCCCCTAGCGTTCTGCTCAAGCTATTAAAGCAGTAGAAACTGTTGGAGAATTGAAATCCTCAGAACTGAGAGACAAACTACTTCAGGAAACTCAGAGGTGGTGGAGGGCTGTTGACCAAAACGCTTTATCTTCTCACCCAAGCTTTCTGAGTGACGGGACTCAGACCGGTGCAGCTGAGGGTCCCTGGCAGTCCGTTTCCACGCCGCCGGGCAGGGCCTGCCCGTCGGGCCGGCTCCTGCTTCTCGACGAAGGATGGGCGCTCTTCAGAAGCACGAGCTTCCCTTCAAACAAACCCCCGTGCTTGTGTTGCTTGTCTGCAGCAGAGCCAGGAAAGGGGGAGAACTGTAGTTTATTTTATTTTCAGGTGCTTTTCTACATGATGTAAAGGGGGAAGAAGCACTGACTTTAAAAGCTGTGGTTAAGGTGTAAAGATGTATTTTCTATGCTTCTCATTGATAGGAGAGTTATAGTTACTGGTATGAAGGTAACCTCTCCCGCTGACTGCATGCACCTGGAGGGCAGAGTTCACTCTCCCTCCCGCCTCGTAGTGCCCTGGCCCCTAACACAGTGCCCTGCGCCCGGAAACACAAGTGATGTCCTGTAGGTCGGAGAAGCACTGGAGCAACACAGGCCAACCCACCATCCTCGTCTTTAAGGCACTCAGTGGAATGTTCTAGGTCGTGCCAGCCTAGCAACAGAGGCTGCGAGACTTGGTGCACTGGAGACGTGACATCAGGTTTCCTCTCAAGTTGCATTTCGTCAGAAGCAATAGTGGTGAAATCACGGGTACTGGGCGTAATTAATTGACCCCCAAGTGTACGTCACCTTGTTCTAATATGTAGAAACAGACCGCAAGGTAGAGAAGGTCAATGTGAAATTCTATGCATACCGTCCAGGTTTCTGCCACCTGAGTTTAGGTACTCTAAACCAAATACCCTGTTTAGTTTCGCAACAAAGACCGGAACACTCTTGTGCAACTTCCCTCAACAAGGCTGTTCAAGGAATGGGCTGTTTTGGCTGTGGTTAGTAGGTGACGCCTTTTGGCCTGAAGCCATACTTTGTGCAAGTGGTGGAGGACAGCGCCCAGATTGTTTTGCTTTCATTCGACACGTGCAGCCCGGTGACGCAGGGTCCTTCAGGGCACTGGGACCTGTGGTGAGCACGGGAAGGTCCCGCGGGAGCGCAGGGTTAGCGGAACTCTCCACCGAGCTGGCTGGCTTGCTGCCGAGCTCAGGTGGCTCTTCAGAAGACCTTCCTGGGCAGACCTCACTTTCGGTGGTTTCGCTCTGAAGCTGGGTGAGGAGGAGTGAGAGGGTGGTGGTCAGATCAGTGCGCGGAGGGCTCCGAGGCTTGACAGCTGCTTCCTCTGCTGCTGATGGGGTTTGCTGCAGCCGCTCCGGAGCACCCTTGGGTTCGTCTGTGCGCCTCCCCAGGCAGCCCCGGAACCTCGTCCAAGGTGAGTCAGCCTAACCCTCACCTCCACTCCTGTTCTCTGACGCGGCACCTGCGTGTCAGACCCTGAGGGGCGCAGTGACAGTTAAGTGTGGCACTGCTCACTGCACTCCACTTCCTCGCTGAGGCAGCACCTGACACTGCACAAGGCACCCCAGCTGCGTCAGTGTGATGGTCAGAGAAGCCACTAACCCCTCCCATCAACCAGGCAATGAAACCCGGGCAGTCCGGTTTCCGCACCAGCCGTAAGGACGTGACGGGTATTTTGTTAGCCTGTGGTCAGAGCACTGCTCCACAGCCCCAGCTCAATGTAAGTGCACCAGTCAAGTCTGGAGAAGAGCCTGCTGCCACTAAATCAACCGCGACACTCAAGATGCTTCGAAGTAGTGTTAGGATGATGGAATCATTTTGTTTGTTGAATCTTAACAGTTCTACCTTTTTCTGGGAAAAAATCCAAGTAGAAGTCATTAATGATGTAACCCAAACTGTCAACTTTTCCACAGTGGAAGGGAATTGTTTTAAAACACTGCTCTCTACTCTGGGATTTGTTAGGGTTGGGAAATGTTTATTCCTGGTGCTGGGAGCTGGTACGAAACCTTAAGTGCAGGTGAGCAGCCTGAGTCAGCTAACTCTGCAGCGCGCAGCTCGATTTAAAGCAAACGGGGGGAAGAACTCCCTTGACCAGAGGAAGTGGCAACCGAGTCTCCAAGCAGCCAGAGCGGCCGCCACGTGGAAGGGCTGCCGGTGCCGCTGAGGCGGGTCTTCGGGCTCCCAGGACTCGCCTGCTGCCCGCGCTGAGTTTTCACACTCGAACTTCCTGTGCTGCACAGAGCCCCACTCTTCGTGCAAACCTCCAGGCCCACTTCTGTAACAGTTCACCCCACGGGGCAGTCCGTCCCCGCCCCCATAAATACGAAGGTACTATAGGTTCGTAAACGGTGGAGATCTTTAAAGAATGATATGATTATTATACAAATTTGAATTTCAAACTGGAAGTACATTTTTCTCTACTAGCCAAAGTATCTGCTGCCTAAATGCATAATTTCAGATGCGGTATTGTTTTTGAACAAAATGGGGCGTGTGATTCTGTTAAAAAGTAAATTTTTCTAAATTAATCCATGACTTCTCGTAATAGCTCTTTAAAAAGGTATCCCAACAGATAAAGCAGTGCTTCCTTAGGCACCACTTAAACACTCTGCGTGTCAAAGTCAAGTTCAGCAAATTGGTGGTGTCAGGTCAAAAGAGAAAGTACTACTCACACATGCAGATTAACGGGTACACAAGATTTAACACGGCCACCAGGACTTATCCATTCTGTTTATTGGGTTGGAAGGGAATACAAACGATTGGTTAAGTGCTACGCACCGACATGGAAAGGTGTATTAAAAAAAAAATCCCAGTAAAGCAAATCAAAGTTAATGTAGCTTCAATTGAACAAAATTTTAAAGATGTTTAATATACTACACATTTATAAAATAAAAGTTAACAAAGTGTTTTGTAAATAATTAGTAGAACAAGTGAAAATAAATATCAGAGACCTGAAGATTTTTATGCTTTAATGAAATAATAAAGCAAAGAAATTTAAACTACTAAATATAATCTGAGAGGCAGTTAAAAAAAAAAAACCAAAAACCAAAATCCCCCAATTTAAGAACACAGTCCTTTGAAACACTGAATCAGTCCGTAGCAAGTAGTTATTACATACCAGAAGCTCTAATGTTAACTAGTTCCACCACAACGCCATGTAAATCTCGACAATTTAGACATCTTGAGATCGACACTTAAGTCCTCGTCTTGATCTCTACAGCTTGGTTTGTAAGGACGTGCATGCTCTGGTGGGCCTGCTCCCCTCCCACACACACACCTTTTCAAGGAGCCAACACTTTTTTCCCTCTGTGCCTAAAAATGTTACGCTTCGGTTTTAGCACATTGACCCTGATAATGAAAATGTTTCAGTTAAAGATGGGGGTGCACTTTTTAATCTTATAAAAATAGACCAGTATTAACCAAACCTTAACTCCAGAGAGGGCACTTCACATGTGCACGAGACTTGTAGTAAAACGGACCAGGACCCGGAACGGCTGTTCCCAGGCCGCTATCATGATTAAGTACTCTCTCTTCCACACAGACACACAACACACACACACATCTTT